ACTTCCAGATAAATACTGTCAGAAGGTTAAGTGGAAACTGCAAAACTACCCCTAGTTACAGGGTTAATATAAGGCCATTTACAAAAGTAATATCAGGAGGGAATTCTTATCCCGGGCTAGTAGATTGAAAAAAGAAAGTTAAAAAATTACTCTTCTAGGAGGCATCAAATCATTACTGTGTATTGCTCATTGATTTAGGAATTACCAATTTCTTGCATTATTTACAATAGTCAAACTACAGAGACAAACCTAAAAGTCCATCAATGAGTGATTTGGTAAAGATGTTGCACACACACACAGTGGATCACTACTCAGCCATAAAAGAAGACTGAAATCATGCATTTATGATGACATACTAGAAGACCAACTATCAGGAGGTCAACTTAAGTTGCAAAGTTTTTTTTTTCTTTTTCCAAATAAGGATATTAATAGCTAAATATGACAATAAGACTTTGAAGGTGTTAGGTGAATTGAGATGTCAAATGAAGAAAGACAACTATCATATGATTTTACCTATATGTTGTAATAAATATGTAATGAAACAAAGCAAATAAAAATAAAGCAAAACAAAGACAAACTCTTAGAATATAGAATAGATTAGTGGGTATCTGAAGGTAAAGGGACTGGAGAACAGAAGTGGGTAAAGAGAGCCAAATGTATGTAGATAGATGGACACTAGACTTCTTTCAAGATTCATTTATTTATGCATACGGAACTGGGGTACAGGCCAGAGGCACAGGGGCAGTGAGAGGATTCACCAGAGACAGAGTAGGGGAAGAACAGGCAGATCGACGAAGCAGATCCCACTGAGGGGCGCAGCAGGCAGGTCAGGAGAGGTCTGCCCTGCCATGTGGGTCACTCCAGGTAGGCGGTGTTCGAACTTACGCTGAAGGGGCTTTAGCTTCTAGGTGCTGTGCTTTAACGCGCTGTGCCACCAGCACATGTGGTGATTATGATGTAGTGTAGGCAGCTCTTGGATTCTAATTCTGGCCACTGGAAATTTGTATGTTATAAACACATGCTATCTCAAGAAATACTCATTTAAAAATAAAAAGTTGCCAACTGAAAGTACATTGGAAATGTATCCCGAGGTCTAAATGTTGGATTTTAAATACACAAAGCTAATGTCATATTCCATAACCTAAGCACAGATCAGACTCCCCTACCCCAATATTCATGAAAACCATTTCTAGAACAAGATTGTTCCATACTCGTCAATATCAACTTTCCCTTACCAGGCACTATTGTGCATAGAACACATTTTAGATTAGAGAATGATAAATTCCACATTTTCCACATCCTTGGGATGTTCCAAGTCAGATAATTTATGAAAATCTACCTGGTTATGGAAATTTGATTACAAGATTTCTCAGAATCTTTTCTCTGCTAATGTTCATTGTGCCTCTTCTGGAGTCCAGAATCTGGTGTACTTTAAGTTTCCTTGAGCCTGGGGCCCATTCTTCACAGGTCTTAAGAGTGGACTGGAATATAATTTTGGGAATACTAGGTCTGATAGTAAGTAATAAAAATGATGACAGGATTTTAACATTGCACCTACCATTTGTTGTTGAAAAACTATGTGTTTTTCATATATTGTAAAAAGAGGGCTTATGACTAAGAGCACAAGTTTCAAGCTACAGCCATCAAAGCAAAGCTGAATTTAAATCCCAACTCTATCATCTAGTACTTGTATATATCGCTGTGTATATACATCTGTTTTCTGTCTACTTTAGCAAATTGAACCAGGATTACAGGAGATAACATCTAATCATATCAAAAAGATTATCCAAGAGTTAGAAAGCACAATTGTTGGATCAGCCATTGTTAACAGAGATTGTTAAATGAAAAGAACATAAAAATGACTCAGAGGTGCCATTGCAGAAAGAAATAGCATCATCAGGGCTGGAGAAACAAAGTAAAGAATTCGGAATTATCAGAAGTTACTGGTTTGGAGGAGGGGACCCCACAGAGCTGAGAACCAGACACTGGGAGATGAGAAGACAAGCTCACAAATGCTGAAAGAGCTGCAACCTGCACCCAGTGCTGCTCCGGAGCCCTTGACACTGTCAGGATAGAGAGGGGAGGTCAAGGTGGCACCCCCAGGAAGAGGAGGCAAATGAGAAGCGCAGACGAAGGAGAAAATCCCATCTCTGATTTGTTTTCTAGTCTCCCCCTAGAGCTCTGAGCTACAGAGCCTCCTTGGAAGTAAGCGGGCAAAGCATACTCATGGTGTGAGCGTCCCACCCCACATCACAGAGCAGAGCACAGAGTTGAAGCAGAGCTTAGACAGTGGCACAGACACAAAGTTCAATGGCACAAAAAATATCTGCCTGCTCTGCCTCCTTCTTGGAACCTGCTTGATTGACTCAGTCCTGAACCGGTGTGGATTAGCTCTGATTAAAACAGGAGGATTAAATGCCTGGAGGCTCTACTCATTAAATCACACAAACCAGGTAGGTTTACATGTCTCAAACCTAAAATGTCTAACACTGGACCCGAGATGCTGCCCTTACCTTCAATAAATTGCTCCCCAGAATTTTCAAAGCACAATTCAGACAACGTCCTCCCCCTGCTTCCACTCTGCAGGCTCTTCCCACTGCATGGATGACAATTCCACCTCCTGCCATAGCCAGCAAGGTCCAATCCTTTCCATCCTCAACAGCCTTCTTTCTTTCATTTTGGCCAGGCGGGCATTTCTGTTTTCCTAACGGGAGCTCTCTAATCAGCTCGTTATCACTTTGAACCAAGATACTTTTGTTTCCTCCACCTAAAATGCTCACCCAGATTCTTGACAAGGCTGGTTCCCACTTAGCCCTCAGCACTCAGCTTAGTTGTAGGCTCTTCAGAAAGACCTGGCACCATTCTATCTACAGCTAATTCCTACCTGTTGTTTTCTTCATAATATGAGCATACACTGTATCATCTTACTCCTTGCTGTTTACCATGTATTGCTTGCCTCCCCACCCAACCAAGTGCTTCTGTGTGGGCAAAGCCTTGAGCATCTTGTTCATCTTCTATTTCTAGCATCAGAAATTGCAGCCATTTCAAAGAAGACCTCCTACATATTTGCTGAATGGATGAATGAATGAATGGTGTTCTGGGGGTAAAAACAAGGGTCAGACGGTCTGGCCTCCAAGGAGCAGCAACCTAGTGGGAAAACAGGCCTGTGCTCCCAGCTTCACTGACTTGTTATTCCCTTTCCCCAAGTGAAAAGCATAAGCATCTTCAAACATCTGTCAAGTCCTGCCCAACTGGGTGTAATATCATCTTGATCCTGATGTTTCCATCTAGTCTCCCCCTCCCCCATTTTCATGCTCTCAGTCAAAATCCAAATATACACTTATGTACAAGTGATGGATGCAGCTAATCCAATATTAATAACACTTAATTTCTTACACATTTCTCCTACACTCTACTTTATAGATTCTATACTTTAAGCTACCTGTAACAGATATTGCTAAAATGCAAATATGATTCCCTTGTTCTGTCTAAAATGACCACAGTGATTCTACAATACCTTTAAGGTTTATTCATTCACTCAGCAAATATTTGTTTAATGGCAAACTCTCCGGAGACATTGGGGATACAAAGATAAACAGATGCTGGTCTACTGGGAGACACGGAGAAGTAATGGAGAAGTAAACAGGCAGACAAGGGCTAAGATGGGCTTACACACAGCATGGGATAGGGTGTACTGAAGAAGGACCCACAGGACTACCTCAGAGGGTAAAAGGACGATTCTCAGCAGAAGTGAAAACATGTAGGACCTAAAGGACAACTAGGATTTGCTAGGCAGGGAACAGCATGCACAGATCACCCTAAATTCAGGGAAGTGGAAATGCATGGTCTTTGACCTGCAGTGGTTTGACTCAGAACTTTTCAGCTTTGCTATAGTAGAGAAGAGGTACCTCTAATAAAAGCCGTATTTTGGATTGTGAACTGATTTTTTCTCCAAGCTAGTAATCCTTTTCCCATGATTGTGGTGCTAGGCAGTGGCAGTGAGACCAAGTTCCCAGTCAGTCATGTGATTGGGAGTATAAACAACCCAGACTCTACCAATTGTTTTTCACTTTCAGTGCTGTGTTCATTATAAGACATTTGACACTTTATTATAAAACAGGCTGTGTGTGAAATGTTTTGTCCAATTATAGGCTGGTATCAGTGTTCTGAGCACGTTCCACATAGGCTAAGTTAAGCTATGGTTAAGTGTACAAATGCATTTTTTAAAAAGACTTATTTATTCATACAGAACTGGGTTACAAGCCAGAGGTGCAGGGATGGTGAGAGGCTTTACCAGAGACAGAGTGGGGAGCAGAACAGGCAGATGGACAAAGTACACTGCTGAGGGGAGCAGCAGGCGGGTCAGGAGCGGTCTGCTGGGCCACGTGGGTCAGCTCAGGGCTGGGGATGGAAATCACACTGAATCAGCTGCGGCCAGCTTGCAGTGCTGCAGCTTGCAGTGCTGTGTCCTAACCTGTTGTGCCACCAGGAAAGGCCATACAAATGCATTTTAAACTTGTGACTTATCATTGTAAATTGAGGAAGATCTGGGAAACTAGATTAGACTAGGGAGAGTGCGCAGTGAGAATGGGGCTGCAACGATAAATGAATGCAAGATCCTGCCTGAATTGGATGCCTTCATATTTTCTGCCTAATTGCTCTGGCTAGAACTTCCAGTGGTGTGTTGAATAAAACTGGCAGGAGTGGGCATCCTTGTCTTGTACCTGATCTTAAGGGGATCAGGTACTTTTCACCACAGGGAACTATGTTAGTGGTAAGCTTGTCCTGTGTGATATTTACTATATTGAGGTATGTTCCCTCAATACTCAATTTACTGGAAGTTTTCATGGTGACTGGATATTGAATTTTGTCAAATGCTTCTTTTAAAATTTATTGTAATGATCATGACTTTTATCCTTTATTTCCTTAATGTGGTGTATCACATTGATTCATCAGTATATATCCAGCCATTATTTTATAACTAATAAATTCCACTTGACCATGGTGCAAGATTATTTTTAATGTATCATTGACTTCAGTTTACTAATATTTCCTGAGAATTTACACATGCAAATAAAATGACTGTGAACCTCTTTCATCACACCACATACAAAACTTAACTCAAAATTGATCATAGGCCTGATGATAGAAACTTTAAAAGAAAATGAATAAACCTTTGTGATCTTGAGTTAGGTAAAACATTCTTTGAAAACAGAACCACAAATGATAAAGGAAAAAAATAAATAAATCTGACTCCCTCAAAAATGTAAAAATCCTGTGCTTCAAAGAAGTACCGTGAAGGAAGATAGTTTTCAAAATCTGAGCAATGGATTTAGGGCATTATTCAGAAGAAAAGGGATCATTTGAGGCAGGACAGAGTAACTGAAATCATTACCTCCTACCCTTTCTAAACTCTATCTATGTTGCTGCTTCAAATTTCCACAAACCACAACACAACTCTTTACTCCACAATTTATGGGGAGGCTTAAAAAAATAAGATGACCCCACAGGAGATAATTCAATGATTTGTGTCGTTCCTATTGATAGTTTTTAAATTATTCCCCTGAGGGAAGCTTAGCCACTTAAGAACTTTCCTAGGTAAAGCTGGCATTGCTGAAGGAGGCAGCTAGTCACCAGTTAAGTCTGTATAGTGTAGCCCTCTGGAATTTTGGGCATAAACCAATGATCTACATAAACCAAATGTTTTACTTAACAGTTCATTCAAATAAAGTGTTTTTATAAAGGTTCTCACTCAGTGTCACTTACTACTACTAGCAAATTCTGACTGACCTCTACAAATTACTGTTTTTGTTTTTGTTAATTACCAAATCCCTCATATAAATTACCACCAAGGGCAGGAAAACCAAATATATTAGCTGCAACAGGAATTAAGGGCAAATCATCTTTTAGTGTTATGAAAAACTATAGGTGAATGGATAAACAAAATGTGGTATATACATGCAACAGAATATTATTCAGTTCTAAAAAGTAAGGATTCTAATTCATGCTACAATATAGGTGTACCTTGAGAACATGCTCAGTGAAATAAGTCAGACACAAAAAAACAAATACGATTCCACAAATACGGTTATTTGAAATACCCAGGACAGTTAACTTATACTTCAGAGACAAGGAAGTATAATGGTGGTTACTAGAGGCAAAAGAGAGGAAGAATTGGGGAGTTATTGTTTAATGACTATAGTTTCAGCTTAGGATCATGAAAAAAGCTTGAAGATGGATACTGGTGATGGTTGCAATAGCAATGTGAAAGCATTTAATGTCACTTAATTGTGTACTTAACAATGGTTAAAATGGTAAATTTCTATAATCTAATTTTAATATATTTAACAAAAAGTTCTGGAAAATGGAGTTAGATTGTTGGTGGAATCTACTTCAAGACATGAAAGCAACCATGTGTCAAAGACAACTTATGTACAAACATGTCTTAAAAGAAAGTAGGATGGTGGGATAGGTAAAAGACTTCTGATTATTCCTCCAATTTATACCACAAAGTGGGTTTCTAAGAACTGCTAGCCAGATGCCTAACTACAACAGAGACGGTAGCTTCTGACAGCCCTGCTTCCAGTGGCAGGGCTAGAACAGCCATCAGGATTTCCAAAGTGGGTATGTGCTTCTACAAAACAGTCAACACTTCATTCATACCTGAGGTCAGGCGCTTTGCCTGAATCTTTGTAGTCCAGACTCCCAAACAGTATCTAGATTCTAGAAAGTATCTATCAAATAGCTATTGAATATAAATGGAAATTTGACTTGGTTTATAAAATGGAGAACAGGTAATACCTTTTTGAGAGTACTATATTTGATTAGAATGAAATGTATTATGTAAAAGCAAAGCTACAGAGGTATAAGGCCTTACTCTTCAAATAGAACATAAAAGGCTTGAAAATCTCCCTGAATGTCAATTTATTTCTGAGATCTAATTTCTTGGTGAGTTTAAAGTAATTTCCACTGGTGACTCAGGAAGCTCTGATTTACCTTTGTCTTCTTAATCATCTAGGAAATAGTAAGGATAGATTTCATTGCCATTCAGATCTCTCCATTCTTTCTAGGCTATAACAAGGTATGAACAAAGTAATTTATCATTCAGAAAGATATGGGGTTTATTTGGAATAAAAACGCACTGGAAAAAATAGTTACTTGCTTCTTTTAGATATTTCCCTGGCTCAGAACTCCCAACGCACCACCAATTTTGGATGGATTTGTTACGCAGGAGAAAATCAAAGGTAAGGCATTAAGAGTATCACAGACGCTCACTGGCAGAGCACACTGACTAATCTAATCATATTAACAATAAATTACCCAAGAAATTTTATTATCCGTGTTGTATATATCTCTCCTATAGAGGACTAACATTTTAATCTTTTAATCTGATATGTTGTGTACCATCACGATGTATTTTGTATTTATGATTTAAGAAATTATATTTAAAAATTAAGACTTGTATTTATACGCCTATGATTATAAGGAAAATTAGAAACCAAACATATATATATATATAAAACCTGTTATTTTGGGAAGGATTTAAACTTACAAGCCCTTTCCATCTCCTTTGAAAAGCAGGAACATAGAATTACTTTAAGAACAGTTCTGCTTTTCTAATTGTATTCCAGGTTATGTCAAAGGAAAAACATTCAGAAACCTTAAGACTTTTATCTCCTCAAATTTTAGATGGATTGTTTTTCAGAATTTTTCTAATCTACATTCTATGAAATCCTTTAGTGATGATGCATCCTTCTAAAGAGTTGAGTGAAATTTTATATATTAATAAAGATGGTATCTTAGTATTGACTATACTGAACAGAAAGGAATAATTAATTTTCATGTAACATAGGTCAGATGTATATCCATATACCCTACAAATGTGCACTAAAACAGAATTTTCACCAACAGTCAGTATTATAGATTCCACGTTATGATTAGCTCAAGAACACAAATTTCTGCCTCTTCAGTGAAAGGTGTATTTTTCAGTTGTAACAACATCCTCACTGAGTTTTCAGTTTGTCTTTATCTTGTTCCTTTTGATTGCCAAGTGCAAAAGATTCCTGAACAAATTGCCTGCACATTGGACACTGCTGAAAATACTTAACACAGCCATCACACAAGCACGTGTGTCTGCACGGCAAGAGCACCCAATTCACAGTCCCGTTCTGGCAAACAACACAGTCCTTTGTGTTCTCCTCAGCAGGCTCTACTTCATTTTCAGACAGTCCAGCCTTTTCTAACAAACTCCGGTCTATGCTTCTTTCTTCTTGTGAGAAAATGTTGGAAGGAGTGGAATTATTATTTGCAGACATAAAAAGTTGCTGAAAGCCAAAGAAACAAATTTAAAAATAATTACAAATGACGATTATTCTTTAACCTGGGGTCATTAGAGATGTTCAAAATTTATGAGCTAGCTAACCACTAGCAAATAATAGCTAACTACTATGATAATTAAGTGAAAACTATTATCTTTTTTTTTTAGCACCAGCATCATCTTTTATTATATTTTTAATTTTTTTACATCATTCTACATTTTGTGCATTTTTTCCATCTCAGTTCCATCTCAGTGGTAAAGCCCATGGGCTTTACCTCTTTATAAATGGTCATTTTTTGAAAGTGCAAACAAGAGACAGAGATTAAGACTACAAGATACAACTCACCTTAAGATCATGAAATTGACCTTGAGCCAGGAGTAAATATTGATACAGTATTCTGCAGGAAAGTTTGTAAGTCTTATCAGGAATATGAATTACTGACACCATGGAAGTCTAAAATAAAAATTGAACACTGGTCAGTACTTAATCTCCTTATATTATTTCAGAGAAATGCTTCTCAAAAATAATACATTGGTAAATTTAAAAGCTTATATTTATTTAAATCAGTCACAAAAGAGGAACCAATTACTATGATATTTTTGCCAGAGTTACTTTAATTATCAAATTTACAAATTTAATGTGAATCCAACAAAAATACCAAAGAAATAGAGTTACATGAGTTGACTCTTTAAAATTCACACATGGGAAAATAACACGTAAAAATGGCTAGGAAAATACTGAAAAGAAAGCTATAAGGAGGTTAGCCCAGTCAGATCTTAAAACATATTACAAGCATCTAAAATTAAAGACAGTGTTGAACTGACAAAGGAACAGACAGATGGACAGGAGAGAAAAAACATCCTAGAAGCAGACTCAAGCTACAATATAACACAATAAAGGAGACTTCCCAGAGAGAGTCTTCTCTTTTTTTAAAGATTTGTTATTTTTATTTATTTATGCATACAAGAACTGGAGTATAGACCAGAGGTACAAAGGATGAGGGGTACAGGGTGAGAGGATTCACCTAAGACAGAGTGGGGAGTAGAAGAGGCAGATTTACTGAAATACACGGCTGAGGGGAGCAGCAGGCAGGACAGGAGAGGTCTGCTGCACCATGTGGGTTTGCTCCCTGGGTGGGGATTGAACTCAGGCTGCAGTGGTCGATGATAGCTTGACAGCACTGAAACTTTAACCCCTGTACCACCAGGAAGGCCCCAAAGAGTCTTTTTTTTTTTTTTTAAAGATTTATTTATTTGTACATACAGAACTGGGGTACAGGCCAGAGGCTCAGGGGCGGTAAGAGGCTTCACCAGAGACAGAATGGGGAGCAGAACAGGCAGATCGACGAAGTACACTGCTGAGGGGAGCAGCGGGCGGGTCAGGAGAGGTCTGCCGCGCCATGTGGTCTCCTCCGGGGCAGGCGGGATTTGAACTCATGTGGAAGTGGCTTTAGCTTCTCAGTGCAGTGCTTTAACCCGCTGCGCCACCAGGGAGGGCCAAAGAGTCTTTTTAATAGACAATATTGGGACATTGGATAGCTATGTAAAAAATAAAAATTATATGCATTCTTTACACCGTAGATAAAAATAAACTCCAAAACATTAAGAAATGTAATTATAAAAAAAAAATAGAAGTAAATGGTTAATTTCTTACTAGTCTCAGTGAAGGGAACAGCCTTCTACTACTCAAGGAAGATAAACTTGACTGTGTTAAAAACTTGACTTGACCAACAAAAAGCACCATATGCAGTCAAAACACATAAGACAAAATGAAATAAAATATTCTCAATATATGTCATAGACCAAAAGGTACTATTTCTAACTTAAATACTTTTAAAAATAGATAAAAATCCTATTTAAAAATGGGCAAGAGATCTCAATAGGCAATTCGCCAAGATATAAACATGTCTCTGAGCCATATTAAAATATGTTCAACTTTACTCTCAATATGATAAATGTAAATTAAAACTTCACTGAGGTATCCCTTCTTATTCACTGGATGAAATAAAATTCAAAGGCTTGTCAAAACACTGGAAAACAGTCATTCTCATATATTCCTGGTGGAACTATATTTTAGAAAAAAAGGTACAGCTCCAAAGGTAACAACCCCAACAAAAGGCACTCGGTTCTATGTAACTAAATGACATGCCTCCTTTCTACCATTCAGCTTAAGCAATATTAACACACGTGGACAGGTTTTTACTGAAGACTATTGGAAACAAATGTCCAGACACAGGATATTGGCCAAATAACTGTGGCACATGCACACCCTTCTTACAACAGAGTGCTAGTGGCTGTGGGGGGAAAAAATGTGAGGAAAACCTCTATGAATTGATCTGGAGCAAATCCTAGGGAGTATTAGGAAGTGGAAAAAGCCAGAACATGCAGAGCTTCATTGAATGCACCACATTTTGTGTAAGGGGAAAATGAGGAGATACAGAGCTGAGCCTCTGTATCTTATAACTCTGAGGAAAAAGCTGGAAAATAAACTTGGTTATCTATAAGAATGGGGATATGAAGAGAACATCTGAGTCTACTCTTCACATAGTGACTTGACTTTTGGGAGAACTAATCCAAGTAATTATGGATGCAGTTTGACTGAACTCTCAGTTGTGGGCAGGAAGGAGAGAGTAAACAGTATGAGCACTAAAATAATTACACTCAGTAACAAATTATAAAGCAGTAGAGAAAAAAAAGGGAATTCAAGGGGTCATTCAGAAGATAAGCAGGTGAACTAATGGGAGTTTCTGGCTGTAGCAGAGTACTCAGGGTTAAGTGGGAGGCTGGAGTTGGGGAAGCTCAGTTTAAGATACACATAAAATCTGGAAAGAATCAATAGCTATTAATTCCAGGGGTAAGTTTTGATAAAGAGTGGCTGTTTACATGGTCTTAAAGTGCCTCCCCAATGCTGATTATTTGCAAGGAGGGGAAAATATGAAATAGTGGAGAAATAATGACTAACACTTTGACTGAGAGATCAGAGTTAATGTCACTAAGGAAGGCAAGGAATCCTGTGTCTAGAGGGGACTGTACCATCGCCTGTGCGGCAGTACACTGGCAGAAAATGCTTAACTCTAATCTAGGCATAGTCAACAAATCAATCCCAATCTAGACAGACAAACAAAATAAGACATGTTTGGGGCCTCCCGGGTGGCTTAGGGGTTACTCTCAGCACCCCCACTGCTAAACCCTGAGTTTGATCCCCTGCTGGGGAACTGAGCCACATGGCGCGGCAGACCTCTCCTGTTCTACCTACCCAGTGCTCCTTCAGCATTGTATGTCAGTACATCTGCCTGGTCTGCTCCCCACTGTCTCTGATGGATCCTCTCACCTCCTGCACCTCTGGCCTACACCCCGTTCTTCTGCACACACAAAAAAAATTTTAATTTTTTTTTAATTTTAATTTTAAAAATAAGTCATGTTCTGTTTTACCAAAAAAAAGTGTGTCTCATAGATTGTGGCTTCAAGAACACAAATATCATAAAAGAAAAAGTTGTGGAGATGTTTCAGAATCAAGGAAGCTCAAGATACATGACAAATGTAGTTTGTGACTCTAGAATAGAGCCTGTGCTGGTCAGATAGCAATAAGCAGGCAGTCTAGGGATCAGAACTGCTTATTAGTTTTTAGATTTAGATCCTCTCATTCTCAGAAAAAATACTGAAAACCCACATATTAAAACATTATAAAATGCTTGATTTACTTTTCAAATTAAGGACAGAGAACATTAACACAAAATATGTTAATAAATATGCTGTAAATGTTAGGTCCAATCTGAGAAATAAGAAACAGGGAAGCAAGGAGTAACAGGAAAAAAAAAAAGAGGGTCAACTGAAAAGAACAAAAGACACAGAAAAGGGCACATCCAGGAAGGGAATATAAAGGAAAAGAGAAAAGGGTGGCCATGGAGAGCCAAGGACTAGGCTTATCCTGGGGGCAAAGCCCCCCACGGTGATAGCAACTTGAATTAGGAACCTGGTAGCAAGTCTTTTCCTACTTATAATGCCATGAAACTCTACACTAGAAAGTGGCAAATTTTATGTATATATTTTACCATAAACACACAATTCTGCTCTCTTTAGATGGTGTAATTAAGTTAGAAAACAAAGAAGACCCTAAGCGTCTCAAGCAGGTAGAGTGCCCTATCAGGAAGGGGAAGAGGAAGCAAATCTATTGAGTTCCCATTGTGTTCTACACACTATGCTAGATTCTGGAAACACACTGTTAGTGTGAGTTTTATTTGGAGAAAGCAAGCTGATCATTTCCATGGAAATTCAGTTTTATAAGATCAAAAGCCAAAAAACTATAGAGATGCTTAAATGTGTATGAGCAGGGTTTAATTTCCCCCCAAAAGGGTCTGAACCTTCCACAGCTCAATGCTCAAATGCTTAAAGGAGATACTTTTATTTTATAAAGGCGTACTGGTGTAGGACTCAGAAGACTCAGAGCCAAACCCTGGTTCCTGACTGACTGGAATTTTCCTTCTGACTTCAGTCTTTGCAAGGAGAGCTGCCTTAACACGCAAGGTTGTTGTAGGAATACATAAGCTAGTGTTAGTGAATATACTTGTATTTTGCAAAATGTCATAGAAATTTATCCTATCTCTAATTAATGGACAAATCTGCATCGTGCACTTCAGAAAACAGTAAATTGTATATAAGGGTATCCTTACCAAGATATGATTGCACAAAAAGTTTATTTCATGTATAAATCTCTACAATACTTACAGGAATGTCAAGATTAAGGTCCTCTTAAATCTCTAAGATGACTTTATCTTCCTTATAAGGAATAAACTAACAGACTAAATTAATATAATGAGGCAAGAGATTACCATAATCACTGAAAATGTAGGAAACATAGAAGATTTAGATGCAACAGGGGCTATGATGAAAACAGGATGACTGCAAGTGTGCAAAGGAAAGAGTGGAGAGTGGACACTGTATGCAAACAGAGCACTTTAGATCATTACAATGTTTATTTATTCAGTGCTAAAAAATGTTAAGAATAAATAGCCTATCCAACAGACTTTTTCTATATAGCTAACATGGTAGAAAATAGGATGATGACACTAACATAATCCAATTGTAATGTGTTTTTATACTCCCTAAATGTAAGTCATAGTAACCCATATTTTTGCAACAATGGAAGAGACACTCTTGCAGAAACACATCAGACACTGAAGAGGCTGTTACATATATAGGAATTATACAGGTGTTTATCCAAGTACTCGCTTTTCAAGGAAAATGTGTCTAGGCCAAAAGTATGTCCTCAGGAATGAAAGAAAAATTTTCTCTAGTTCACCAAATAATTAAGACCCAAATAATTAAGTCCAAATAACATAAAGAGAGTGCTTCTGGAATTTAAAATTACTTACAATTTCATAAATTTCTCGGTCATCCTCATCTGCTAAGGTCAACAGAGCTACCAATGGATAGCGTGATCTGGGCACTGTACCAAAGTCTTCAATTTTAGTATCTCTTGGTAACTGGCAATAGATTTCTTCTTTGCTGTCCTTTTTAATACTTTTGAAAATGTAAAGGTAAATTGCCACTTTAACCAGACATGTAGTGATATACCAAAGATGATAATAAATTAGCAACACTTTACTGATGTGCTAACAGATATATCAGATAAAATGTCTAAAATCTTCGAGTGCTAATGGAGAGATCAGATAAAAGGATACAAATACTGTTCTTGGTAGAGATATTCGCTATATAGCGCATCTTCCAATGCTTCTGGAGTGCTTATTCGGAAGCAATAAAAGTGCTTCTGTAGAGCTTCATATAGTTTCTGAACACTGCATCCCCAGCAACATGTCAAGAGGCTGTCTTCAAGGCAATCTGTTGTCAAAGTTATGCCAGCTATAGAAAACAAATGCAACAAAGACAAGAAAGTTACCTGACACAATTATTCATAGCGACTAACAAAAGCCTCCATTTGGTCCCTGGCCAGGCTGATGGCAGTTAAAGGATCTCATTAAAGGGTATGTGCCTAGAAGTGAAGGATCTGGTCTCTTAAAACGAGACACATAGAAACCTCAATATCTACACAATTTCAAGTCTCAGCTCTACCCCTGGTACAGCCTGAGTTTGATCTCCTGCTGGGGAGCTGATCCACATGGCACAGCAAACTTCTGCTCCCCCGCTGCTCCCCTCAGCAGTGTATTTCAGTACATCTGCCTGTTCTGCTGCCCACTCTGTCTGGTCAACAAATTGGTTACAATCTAGCCAGACAAATAAAATAAGGCATGTTTGGGGTCTTGAAATTTCAATGCTATCAATAAACCTTATTATTTGTACATTTAAGCTTGGAAATTAGCTACTTAATTTTCTTTTCTTTTTTTTTTTTTTTGGTGACTTTAAAACTTTTCCCACACAGATTTTAAACACTGAAACACAATACACTATTGACAACCTTCCACTCTAATAGTGTATGTACTTCTAACTACAATAAATGATAGGGGCGTCTCTAAAAGTGGATACACCCAACCTTGTAACCATTAGAAATGGGAGCACTGCCTCCAAGCAGCGACACACACAACCCAGGGGCTGCAAGGTGATCACTGGAATAGGAAAAATATTAAAAAGAAATTGAGCTTTACTAATAGTAGTAAACAAATTGACATTAATATACACTTCTGTCACACAGTTAATGTCCCGTGTAATATGTAAAATATCCTGAGGAAAGAGTGAAGATTCTAAAATATGGAGAACATGAACCATGTCCTTATTCATTTGTTTGCTTTCAGTGTATTAAGAGATATTATTATTTGAATAAACCAAATCAAATGGATAACACAGAATATATAAAAAGCTGTCCCCACTATCTTTCATAACCTTGTCTATTCTAGAGACTGCAGAAAGAAAGTACTAATTTTACACAGTTTAAATAGCTGTATTTGTTTTCTCTTCAGTATTTCTCACTTCTTTACGAGAGAGTTCCCATAATTATATTTTCTTAGTCTTCTAACTAAAATTCAGGGCATACACCGTGCATCTTTGGTAAATAGCACTAAAAGAATTAGAATGTTGCCACAAAGTGGGAAATTCAGAATCCAAATTAAGTGAAGCAGTAATGAGTGACAGCACTCAACCCACCCTTACCCACCTAGCTTAAACAGCCAAATAAAGCAGTGTTGAGACACTCTTGCAAAACATTTTTAAAATTAAGACTCATACTCAAATGAGTCAAACTATTAAGAAAGGAAAAACAGTGTGACAGAAAGGTCACAAACCTTCTTGAGGAATCCAATGAGGAAAGAGATAGTATACAAGGAGGCCCTGTATGAGAATAACAAAACTGAAGTACTAGGGGATGAAAATTTTAGGTTGAATGCTACAGAGGTTCTTCCAAAAATGCTACCTGTGTCACTTTGCCCACCCCTTTTGCTTTATGTTGTTTCTCACAGAGTAAGTAAGTCACAAACTAAAGAAGCTATTCATAAAAGGGCAGCAGAATTTCTGAATCAAACAATTCAACAAAATACCCTGACTACATGCTTTTAATTTCATTAAAGCCTCTGTACTTATGGTAAAAATATTATAAATCCAAATAGAGTATCATTATAGAACAACAACAAAAATCCCAACAACCCACTCCTAGTTAAAAGCAATGAGTGACTAAGATTAATTCTCTGGTTTACTTTTAAGGAAATAAAGTCTCCAGATGTTTGTCTGATCTACCCCATATGGCAAGCACCTTGGGTCCATTTCAGCTTGTTTCAAACTACATATCAAGTGAAATAACCTTTTAAAATATCACAGTTATCTCTCAGAATATTATTGCAATGTCTGAGTTAGCTATCTTTAATGACATTATGAATGAACAAATTAAATTTTATTTTGCCAAATACAATTCCTACCAAAATTATTCTTATTACCCAACAGAAGAAAGATAATGAATAATGTGCATTTTTAATGCTACTATTGGTTAGAGCTGAGGGGACTGGGTATTGCTGAGAGGTCTTCTACATATTGGGTATCTTATCCTTTGCTTCTAACATTTACAGGCAGGCTCTATTTGAGACTATTGCTACCTGACAGACAGGCTGATGCTTCCCTCACACTCTGGTTGATGTGTGTCCTTCTTGTTTGCTCACAGTGTATCAGTTCCCACTTTTTCAGTGTTTCCAAGCTGTAAAGCAGGAAGGACAGCTTTGAACTGGTAGATTTTTTTTTATTGGCAGTTCTGCTCAGCCAGATGTGACAAATAAATAGTAGGTCCAGTCCAAATGCATGGCCACATAGTCAGAGGTCACAGAATCACCACTATTGTGATATTTTAGTCAGGCATGTCCTCTAAACAAGTTAGTTTTCTTTGTTGTGTCTTGGTCCTCCAAAGTGAAAAATGTCAGAATGAACCCTCTTATACATCACTGTGTTAAAAAAGAAAAAATAAGATCCTTGATTCCTTCAATTCACAAGGTGGTATAAGATTTACAGCTAAGGAAGCACAATAAATTGTGTACTTTTTCCTAATAAATCAGTATTTTCTTAATCTCCATTGACTGAGTATATTGTATTTGACAAATGATTCTAGGGAGTCAGAGACAGAAAGCAAACGAATGGTCAGACGCTAAGGGAGCTGGGGGTTAAGGGAGTAGATTGGTCAAATCTGTGAAATACTGAAGAGCTAGTACTAATCAGACTGAGAAGTGTCCATGGGATTTTAAAACTGCTGGGGGTCAGAAAGAGATGACAGAAGTGGTAATTAGTGACCCCGAAAAGCCACTTCAGTAAAGGGACACAGAGAAATGTCAGACTGAGCTGCTCTGGGGAACAAAAATGAAGCAAGTTAGGAGAATAGCTAGAGTAGCTATTCTAGAGTAAGACAAAAAGCTGAGGAAATTTTGCATTGTTTAAGAGAACAGAAATGTGAACATGTATAAAAGGTGACAGATTCTGAGCTCATAAACTCTGTAGATTTACCTAGACTACATTTAGAAATGCCTAATCTAGATTGGTACTCTACTCACAAAGGCATTTCAAAGTCCTTAAATTCAAAACTCAATTTGCTACCTTTCTTCTCCAAGCTGTTCCTCCTCTTGTATTCCTTATCTCAGAAAACAGGATCTGTCTCTGGAAGACCCAGGCAAAGAATCTGAGTCTTTCTGACCCCATACTCTCATGTCCATCCTACAGTGTTTTAACCCTAACAAACAACTTACTGTTTCTCTAATATACACTAAGAGAAAATTTTGGAAAATAGCCACCAACTTGTAAGTGAAGCTGAGGATGGATTAGAGATCTCTAAGCCAAACGGATTCTTGACTTGTCTCATTTGCTTTTTGAAAACTCTTGTGTTGAACTGGGTCTCTTCTGAATTTCTCAGAATTACTGGAACATCCCAACCAAACCTGAAGAAAGATAAAAATAAAACATAATCTTAGCAGACGCTGAAACCTGTTATTTGTAAAGAACATTGTGCTTCATTAGTTAGCCCTTTTAACTTAAGTACCAGAAAAAGATTATTTTCAAATTTATATATACTGCAATATATTGTACAGTTGATTCAATCAACATACTCTTGAAAACAATTCTAGTGTTGATATAATTGAATATTGCAGAAGCCAACTGATTATAGAAAAATTATATAAACTGTTTTGATTTATGGGGCAACTTTTTTTTTTTTTAAGATTTATTTATTCATACAGAACTGGGGTACAGGCCAGAGATGCGGAGGATGAAAGGATTCACCAGAGACAGACTGGGGAACAGAACAGGCAGATCGACGAAGTACACTGCTGAGGGGAGCAGCGGGCGGGTCAGGAGAGGTCTGCCTCGCCATGTGGATCTCCTCTGAGGCAGGCAGGGATCAGACTCATGAGGAAGTGGCTTAAGCTTCTTAGTGCAGTGCTTTAACCCGGAGCACCACTAGGGAGGGCCTATGAGGCAACTTTTAAATAGCATTTATTCTTAAAAATATATGCTTACTTTTAAATTTCATATAAAAATGTAACAACATATATTGTATACAGACATAGGTGGAAAGTGAAAGGGACTAAACACAATTCTTTATAAAATTTTAAAAATCTAAACTTACTCAATTTAAATAAAGGATTCTTTAAGTGATGTTTTTAAACAACGGAATAGTACTCAGCAATGAAAAGGAGTAAGTTATTGCTACAACCTCACTGCTAACTCACAGATATCATACTGTGCAAAAGAAGCCTTGCACAAAAGAGTACATGCTATGTGGTTCTGTGATATGCAGTTCTAGGGCTGGTAAAATTAATAGTTAAAATAAAAAACAGAACAATGGCTGCTTCTGGAGGTGTAGAAGTGTGGCCTGATTGGGGAAAAGTATAAGGACACACAGTCTAATGATAGTAATGTTCTATAGCTCAACATAAGTTTGAATTGTAGAAGTGGTGTATTTGATAACACTTAAGACTATACATTTCACTTTTTATAAATAGTTCAAGAGAAAAAAATAAATATGGAAAAAATATGGAGAGGTAGTTAATGAGACAGTACAATTAAATTTGAGTGATTAAGAAATAAATGGATAGACAGGTAGCTAGAATGGAGGGATGAACAGATCGTTAAGAAAGAGCACTGTAGCACAATGTTGGTTGTAGGACCTAACGACAGGCATATGTGCTCAAGTTTTCTGTGTTTGAAAATTTTATGATAAAATGTTCAAAAAAGATATATTGCTGAGTTCAAACACGAATCGTTATGGATCTGAAAAGAGAAAGAAATATAAAGTAATAAGTAAGTGGTAATCAGCAGTGGCAACTAAGACTTCACCTAATAAGGTGGCCTAATATAGGCTGTCCATCAGGACAAGACAAAGTCAAATTCACAACCTGAAACCAGAAGTTGGACTAGGCCAATATCAAGATGGGTCAGAACTGTCACGATACGAATGGCCCTTGACTGGGGGCTCTAGGTATGTAACTAGGTATATGGGGCAACTAATAGAAAGGCTAGGTCAGGGTGAGAACAAAGTGGGGGGGACCTCTCAATAAAATTTTGGCTGCAAATAAAAATCTTAAAGCAAGAGAAAGTCAATAAAGTTAACAAATGTAATAAAACTTTACTCCAGGTGAATTTAGTTTTATATATAAAGGTTAGATAGACTTTTGTATATAAAGGTTAGATAAAGGCTGCTTTGGTGCTGCCCTCCAAAAAGCTGAAAAACAACGCCTCTAGCAGATCAAAGTGTTTTAAGTAAGTTAACTGCATTCCAAAACAAAGTCAAAAATATTTTGGGCCCTCCCTGGTGGCGCAGGGAGTTAAAGCACTGCACTAAGAAGCTTAAGCCACTTCAGCATGAGTTGATTCCTGCCTGCCCCAGAGGTGACCACATGGCGTGGCAGACCTCTCCTGACCCGCCTGCTGCTCCCCTCAGCAGTGTACTTCGTCGATCTGCCTGTTCTGCTCTCCACTCTGTTCTGGTGAATCCTCTCACCCTCCGCATCTCTGGCCTGTACCCCAGTTCTGTATGAATAAATAAATAAATCTTGAAAAAAAAATTTTCATGAATACAAAAACACCCAGCACCCATAAGACAAAATCTGAATGAAGAAGAGGCATACTGTATATAGTTTTATTTGCTACTGTGCAAAAGTATATTTGAAATCTTACATGTACTACAATTAGGCCATTTTTGTAGCTATATAGTATTCTGTGTACAAAAATGCCATAATTTGTTTACTCATTCTATTCTTAATGGCTATTTAAGTTGTCCTCACATTTTGGACACCAGAAAATGGAATTTCTTAGCTGTAAGGTCTGAGGTTCTTCGATTCAGTGGATACTGCTAACAATTCTATGCCATCATATCAATTTACACTCCAAAGTGAACACTGGAGCACTGCTTACCAGCAGTGAACCAGAGTCCCCCTCAATCCAGATCCTTGCCGAAACAATGCTAACCATCCTAGTAGGTGGGTAATGACACTGTACTGCAGTTTTAATTTCTGTTTCCTCATATTAATGAGGTTGAGCACTTTTTCTTGCATCTGTTGCTACTTGACTAGATTCTTTTATGAAAACCCTTTCAAGTGCTTTTCTACTAATCTGTATTTATTTTTTTACTTCTTGATAGACATTAACATAAGCCTTTTGTTTGAATGTATCTTCAGTCTTTCTACAGTTTGTTTTTTTCATACTCAAGACTTGTATCTTTCAATGAAATAATTCTTAATTTTAACACAAAGTTACTAACTACTTTTTCCTTTTGCTCTGGCTTTTCACCACTACCTTTCCTAAATTATGCCCTAACACTGCCACAGTCTTAATTACCATCTCTTTGTATTGTTCTCTTGATGGAGTTAGCCAAGCATGGCTAAAGCAGTTAGTGCTTACTTAGTCAAGGCTCTGGGTCCAGTGTGGGCGTGGCCAGTCCTAGTTCCCTGCCATCCTCATGATTTGCAGAGGAAAAGGGAGTTGGGGAGTATTCACTGTGATACTGTGACACCATAGGCTGGCCATGCTCCTGGTCGTATGTGTAATGTAATCTAAGGTCATTAAGTTGTACTTTTTGGCAGCTGATGAATTGATGACTCACCTTGAGCTTTCAGCCTAGTATAACTGGACACCTTTTCACAGTGACCCAGCATGGACTTGCTCATTTTTGCACAAAAATCCACAACCCTCACAGTTTTAACTTATTTGATGTTTTTTAGACCGATATTTCTATCTTTAATATCCTCCTCAAGAGCAGAATATATAATATGCAGAAATGATTTGGAGACTGGCTGGAGAGCAATCCTCACTAGGTTGACAAGTGGCTGTAAAATACTGGTAAGCAGACCCAGTAATATATTTCTGGCCTCCATCCTTACATGTAGCCATTATCCACCTTTTTGATCAAAAACTTGAATACAAACATTGATGTCTTAGGTATTTGAGCACACTGAAATGAGAGTAGCAGGAAGAATAAAATTGAAAATTGATCAATTTTCATTTTAATCAAGTCCCATCTTTGTCCATTTAGTCATTTTGGAAACTGTTAGCATGAAATGTCAATGAAACAAATGTTTCTTAAAATACTTTCTCTTACACAGACCCCCGCCTTTTCCATTTCTAAAATGTTTTCCATTTCTAAATTCATACTGCTTAAACTTCAGAACAGCAGTCACTTGCAGACAGCTAAGTCTAACAACAGTTTTTCATATGCCCATAGTGTCTTGCTCTGCACACACTTCTGAAGCTTAACAGTAGCTGATAAATACGCTTGACCTCCTTCCCTTGTGTCTAGTGCCTCATGCAGTTTCTCATGAATAAAGGTTACTTTGAGGCTAAAATTTTGACCTCAGAGGCAGACAGCTTTTATCCCCTATCAGAAAACACACAGTTGTTAAGTGTTAAGACTCCCGTACAGTCTCCCCTGGTTCTGTTCTCACTTGGCTAGGCAAATACTGAATTGAAGCCAGGACATAAAAAATCCATTCATGGGGAAATGGTTGATAGAGGAGGAGGGTTATGTCTGAGTGAACTGCTGTGTTTTTTTGCCTTTGAGAAAGTGAGTCAATCTTTTAGAATTCTGTGCCTTCATTGTAAAAAGAGGATCAGTGATCTTAAGGTCCAACTAAGGTCTGAGATGCCATTTCTAACAGCTCTTTTTTCTTCTGGATTGTTCCCAGTAAATTCTTGCCACCCACGTGTCATACATAGATTCTGCACCCAGAGAAAGTACAAACTAAAGTAATATTCTTTTCCTTAGAAGTGGTCTGTGCCACATCACAGACACAGCCTACTCATTGTACATTCATCAAGTACAATGAGAAATAGTCAAGGTCACTGTGTCGGGCAGGGGCAGCAGGAGACAGAAATCACATGAGTTATTTAAACAGAAAGAGTTTAATATAAAAAATTCAAAACCATGATAGGAGGATTGAAAAGGCCAGAGGGGAACACTAGGACATCCCAGCAGGCAGTAGTTATCATTACGAAGACAAGGGAAATAAAAGGTTATTGCAGTTGGAGAAGGGCTCCCCTAGAGCTGGGACTCAGACCTTTGTGGAAGGAGTATGATAAGACAGTTTGAGGGAAAATTATAAACTAAAAATCAACTGCTGTTGCTCAGGCCAACTGTCCCTGACAGGGCCTGCCAGTGCTGTAGGAATGCAGAACTGCAAAAGGAAGCAAACCATTAACAGGCAATTCCTTTTCCTCCTTCAGTCTTTCGGTTTCTTTCTAGCACTCTACTGAGTACCTAAAAGGAAGCAAACTAACACAAGAGAACTAGGGTCTACAAAGTGTCAGCCCCTGAATCACAAAGCTGAACATCTAGCAGAGTGTAGTTCAAAGATGAAGATCAGGATGGTGATTTAGTATGTCCATGTAGTAATGCTACAGGATAGAGTCCTTCTACAAGGGAACCTGATGCCCCTCCAATCAAAGATTACAGACCTGGCCCTCACTGGTGGCACAGCAGGTTAGTAAGCAGCACTGCAAGTTGGCCACAGCCACCTCAGTGTGAATTTGATCCCCACCCTGGAGGTGATCCATATGGTGCAGCAGACCTCTCTTCTCTCCCCAGCTGTTCCCCTCAGCAGTGTACTTTGTTGATCTGCCTGTTTTGCCACCCACTCTGAGTCTGGTGAATCCTCTCACCATCCCTGCACCTCTGGCCTGTATCCCAGTTATATATGCATAAATAAATGAATCTTTAAAAAAAAAAATTACAGACCTAAGGAGTGGTTTCATTCTGGAAACTAGGTGAAAGGATAGAACTCTCCATTATTGTGACGCAAATCAGGCTTGAGACCTAGAATTTTTCCTTCCATGGAGTTCATGTAACATTTAGCCAACTGGTCTACTAACCCATTAGCCAATGTCCAAGAGCCCTGCAGGCTAACACATTCTTGCTTTGCTACCCACTGTCCTTATGACCCAACATCCACCTTAATTCTTCTGGTTATGTGGCACCACTGGACTCAAGTCAAGAACGCTAATGATAAACCACCATCATAAACAGCCAGAGATATTCAAGGATCACAGGCTCTTCTAAATAACACATTTCTCAGTAAAAGATGTGTCTTTCATGTCCTCTTAAAAGATGCCGCAGGGAGTGGGGTGTACACGCTGCACATAATAAATCCAGTCTAATATTTCTGTCTCCCCAAATCTTCAGTCTCTTTCCTCACTATGCCACAAGCATTTTGGCATCTTAGCCTTATTAAATGTAGGCCATTTCTGAGTCCTAGTTCCAATCAATCAAGAATGAATTAACGCATTGGTATCAGAATTTCTGGAGACTATGCCCAATCAACAAATTTGATCTGACCTAGTGTTGCATTTTATCTTCTGCAATGGAACATACTTGCCACCTATTCTCACATATTATTCCCAAAGTTCCCACTGAGAGAAAATAGAAAATGTTGCAATTCTTTTGGGTCTCAGGACAAAATGAGAATATGGGCAACAGAGGTAAATCTTGAGTTTAGATGCCCTTTGCAAAACAACTACCCATGATGAGGTTATTACAGGATCTTCAACAAGGGAAGGCTAGTTTCCTAGGCACACAAAGCAGGCTGATTCCATCAACAAGGGAGCAACTGGGATTTCAAGATTCTAAAGTTTTGTTTGAGTCTACTTAAATAGTCCCATTTTAAGACTCAGGGCTTCTTCCCAACCAGTCCTCGAAATGAGACACTGACAAGAGTATGGTTTATATTACCAGTAAGTTAAACTGTGTTCAATTTCCAGTTTTATAGCTATAAGAAATAAAGTGCTTCAGAACCATAGGAACGCTTTCTCTTGACTTGATATGGACACTTTTAAGACCTGACTTGCCATTTTCTTCCTGTAAGTTCTCCAGTGAACTCAGAAGCAACCCTCCCACTTCTCCCTCAGTCTTTCCCATTATCATTACTGTCAGAGTTGTCAAGTACTTCAGCCACTGGTGCCCCAACGTACTTAATTCAGATACCATATTATCACAATTAAAGGCAGTATCTGGTTAATTATGATGCCAATACATGCTATGGATTACCAGAATCTTATTTTTCATTGTCAAGGACTTTTTGAAACTTCAACTCCACCATCCTACTCTTGGTAATAATAATTTTTTTTTTTTAATCAACGCCCACATTAGTCCAGTCAAGAGACTAACGCCCCACCAGTTACTTTAACAGAGAATTTAAATATAAAGAAATAACTAACCAGATGTTAAAAAACTGAAAATGCAAGAAGCAGATACTGAGTATCAAAGAAGCAGTAAGAGTAGGCAGCACCTATCACTTGCAGAACAGAAAAAGGACAGAGAAATAATACAGGTTAAAAATCTAGAGTTGCCCCTAGAGTTTGGACTCAAAGATGAAGAGAGGAACAAATGAGGTTGGTTCTCAGAGGGTAGCAAACTATAACTTGAAAAAAAATGGGAACCAACTGCCAAAGTGATGCACTATTGTTGTGACGAGCCAGACAAGCAAAAGAACAAAACAGGAAACAGTAAGTCCTTTCATCCTTCTCCAGTAGCCAATTCCCCCCTCCAGGTGGCAAGCCTCTAAGGCTGCTAAGTCAGGGTGCTGGATTATCTGGAACTGTTAAAAGATACAGATAGCACTTTGGTCTCCCTTTTTCACAGTGCTTGGCAAATAGCAACGACTTGTTACATGTGATTTACTAGAGCTCACGGAAATCACCACATACTTAGATAAAAATTCATGCTAACAGTTCCATGATTCTGTTATTGCTATTGGGATTTCAATAATCAAGCACTCTTGACTCTCCCTAGCCACACAGGACAGGTGGACAAGGAGAGCAGTGGAAAGAAACTCATAGTAGTGCTGTGGTAAAAACCATGACAGAGAGGACAGATGTTTTAGGAGTTAAAAAAAGATCACAAGTGATCTTTATCAAGATTAATGAGTTTACTCTGAATTTGGGGTTCTATCAGAAGAATGGATGGGTTAGACTTAAGGTGACTGATTAGGTCCAAATCAAAATGGAAGTAACTGGCACTTACACAGTCTTGGTATTTTAGCCATGCTTAGCCCACACTCCTAGAAGTTCTACAGTTACCTAGGATTCCGTCTTTGTAAAAGTCATACCTAAGTAGAGCGATCAGGCTATCATCAAGTTTTCACACTAATTCTGAAATGTGGTAGTGCCAAGACTTGAATTCTGCCTGACTCCAAAGTCTGTCTCTTAATCACTACAAATAAATTTCCTGACTACCCTTCACCCAAAGATGCCACACAAATTATTAACTGGGCTTTCACTCATTTTTCTCTTCCCATTACTAAAGATAGATGTCTAAGATATCTAACTAGTCGACTGGCTTTTTAAAATAAAAATGTAAGGATATAATCCATTATCAAATAGTTACCTATTTTCCTTAAAGGAGGAAAATTCATTTTATTAGGGGAACTCATATATTAGTTATTTAAAAAAAAATCTTGTGTTACATTACTTTAGTTACTTGGACAACATTTTCCTAATTCCAATTACAAAGTTCCTTGAAAAGAACAAGATCGATAAATTCTGATGGGCCAAGAACAACTAATTCTAAGACTGTTCTTAATCTTCCTCCACCACAACAAGGTGCTTTATGTCTTACTGCTCACCAGGTGGGGAACAGTGAGAAAGGTTACAACTATTTAGTTCCCAAAAATGCCATACATTTTCAAAAACTAACAAGGGCTTGTGTCCTTTCTTTACAGTAATGACATATATGAACCTTCAAAGGGTATTTTTAACCTCCCTTTGCACAGCCTGCTCAACTCACCTACACTTCTCCTCTGCACCTCTGCTAATGTTATGTTACCTAAAAGGCCTTCTTTTCTCTACTAGATCCATTTAACTGGACTTAGTTTTCAAAATAGTCTCAAATCCAGCACATGTCTCTCTCCCCATCCAATAGGATGGTAAGAAGGTTTCATCTAGTTATATTTAAAAGACTTCTCTAAACATGATACAACTGCATATCCTCAAGAGAGAAATTTTAGAATCTCAGGGCAGAAGAACTGCTCAGGGATTATCTAACACTCCATTCTCCTTGTCTCCAACAGGTAAACTTCCGCCTTCAGTGCTACTTATCTTTCAGCTCTAAAATTAGGACTTTACAGTTCTTCCAACTAAATATTACTTCAAAAGGTGTGGAATGTGTGCAAAAGCCATTAAATCCTCAAACGATAACAGTGTTCATTTATAAAATAAGCTTTATGAGGCTGTTTAGATGAGAAGAACAATTAACCTTGTTTACTGTCTACTTCTGAGCACTGCCCGCAGTGACGATTCACTCCGGGCACACAGTGGACCTCAAAGAGGGACAGAAGCCTGTTGGACAGGCCTTGTATCCCAACACCAAGAACAGGATCTTCTGACTGCCTCAGTACCTAGAAACAAAGCTGGGAGAAACAGCTTTTAACCCGGCACCATCAGCAGATGTCCTCTACGACGAGGACAGGACTGCGAAACAGTGTGCGGTGGACACCTTGTTTTCCTCCCGGAGCCGGCCGTGGCCCGGGGCACCGACTCCGCGGCACCTCCAGGTATCCCAGTCTCGCAGTCCCCCAGCTCCTATGTCCCCTGCTACTTAGCGCGACCCCACTCCCCAGCTGTCTGCCCCTTGGTTCCTGGTCTCTGGCCCTGGGGCACTTACCATCCCAATACCAGGCCAGTGGTCACGACGAAGCAGGTAAAGACCACTGCGATGTAGAAAAGCGGCGAATACTCATAGAGCGTTACTAGAAACACCGCGGCCATCAGGGTCCCTAGGCAGAGCTGGGCTCCAGCAGCCCAGCTCAACCTAACCCAAGCCAGCCCAGCCCTGCCCGCCCGGCCGGGGTAAAACTACTACGGTGCCCCGCAGCAGACAAACTTTGTAGGCTCGCACTTGCTAGAGGTTCTCGTAGGTTAGACGTCGGGGCAGCCTCATTGGCTGAGGGAGCTGGCGGACCAATCACCACCTACCTGCAGGGTTCGCCCGCCCCTCCCAATACTGACCCGAGAGATTGACATCGTTGAGGGGCGGGGCTCCCTCTGGCACCGCCCCCACCTCGCGGGATTGGGTGCTGTAAGCTTCTCCGCCTCAAGACTGTCTTAGCAGTTCTGGCTTTTCTGCGGCAAATTCTAAATCGAAATAAGGGCCAACTACGTTCAGCGCTTGAGCAAGGTTACCGGATGCCCCAAAGCGGAGGTACACTCCGAAATTCACGTCACAGATTCTAAATCCCGAAACTGCATGTTAGATCCGAGGCAATTTGGGGAGAAAAGGAGGAAGAGAGAAGGAAACTGGCATCTTGAGTACTCAATGTGAAATAACCCACATCTGCCCTTGTTTTATCTGGGAAGACTTTCAAAGGGCACTGTGCAGAACACCAGAAGGAGTCCCACGGCAGACTATACGATGCTTCTTAGCTTTTCCAACTGGAATATAAGGATAGAGGAAAATTAGCATTGCGAATGGGATATCCTCAAGAAAGGTGAATTCTCTTCCCATTGCCTCTTCTTATTCTTCTCCCACTACACCCTTCAAATTAAGACTGGATGTTTTAATGTTTAGGTATTCATTTTGATAATTCTAAAAATGGAACTTATTTCCTTTAATGGGTTAATTTAATTAAAAACTGAAGCTTCTACCCACAAGAAAGTAACGAAAGCTCTTCAGCCCCTTTTCCTCATTCTCAGCAGTCTATCATTCTCTATCAAGGGAAACTATCTGGAGTCGCTCACATTTTCATCGGCATGTCATTTGTTTACGTTTAGTTCCAAGAGACAGGAAAATGTAGTCTTATTCTGAGCAGCAACATACTCTGCTACAAATTTGGGGAAAACAAACAAAGGATGGCTAGCTATGACGCGGTTCAAGACCACCATGTCACCACTAAAATTAGTATTGGGAGGAGCCCTCCCTGGTGATGCAAAGGCTTAAAGCACTATGAAGCTATCTGCAGCCACTACAGCACAGAATTTGATTCTAGGCCAGGGAGGCGACCCACATGGCATGGCAGACCTCTCAGGACTTGCTCGCTGTTCCCCTCAGCTGTGTACTTGTCTATCTGCCTGTTCTGTTCCCCATTCTGTCTCTGGTGAAGCCTCTCACCGCCCGTACCCCGTTCTGTATGCAAAATAAATAAATCTTAAAAAAAAAAACCACAATAAAACGTGACATATCTATGTTCTCTGAAGTTTATTATCTAATAGGAAAGACCAACATTAGCCAAAGATTTTAAAAAATATATGAAAGCAAAATTATAATAAGTATCATTAAAAAGAGGTACATGAAGCTATGAGAACATATAATGCAAGAGTGGAGAAACAACATAGACCAGGGAAGGCTGTCCTTAAGAACAAATGATTGAGTTGAAAGCAGATAGATTTACCAGGAAAAGAGACAGGAAGAGAGGAAGGACATTTAGTACAGCAGCCACAACATGTGCAAAGGCTGAGAACTCAGGCTAAATTATAGCATACCTAAGAAAATGAAAGGTTCAGATGGCAAAATTGTGGAGAATGAAAATATGAGATAAAAATGGGGAAACATGAAGTAAAAATAAACTTTTTAATAAAAAAAAAATGGGGAAACAACTAGGGTCCAGACCACACCAGAATCTTGCCATTTTTTTATTAAAGATTTATTTATTTATGGTTACGGAATTGAGGTACAGGCCAGAGGTGTGGCAAGTGAGAGGATTTACCAGAGACAAAGTGGGGACAGAACAGGCAGATTGACAAAGTACACTGCTGAGGGGAACAGCGGGCAGGTCAGACGAGGACTGCCACATGCCATGTGGGTCACCTCCCAGGTTGGGCATGGAACTCCTGCTGCAGTGGCTTCAGAGAGCTTCATAATGTGGTGCTTTAATTCTTTGTGCTACCAGGAAGAGCACGGAACCTTGCTATTTTTAACTACTCAATGATTTTCCCCTAAGAGAAGTCACTGTTTTGATTGAAGAGGAGTATTATGTACCAAAATGTGTTCCCCCTCACCAATCTGGAACTCATATGTTGAAGATCTAACCCACAATGTGACTATTTGGAAATAGGGCTTTTAAAGAGGTAATCGTGGTTAAATGGTTCTTTTTTGTTTAAAGATTTATTTATTTATGCATACAGAACTGAGGCTAGAGGTGCAGAGCCGTGAGAGAATTCACTAGAGACAGAGTGGGGACCAAAACAGGCAGATTGACGAAGTACACTACTAAGGGGAGCAGCAGGCTAGACAGGAGAAATCTGCCATGTGTGTAACTCCCCTGGCTAGTTCAGACTAGTGCTGAAGCTTCTTAGTAGTACTGTGCTTTGACCCATTGTGCCACCAGGGAGGGCCCTTAAATGAGTTCTTAAAGGTAGAACCCTAATCCAACAGAACTGGTATCCTTTTTAGAAAAAGAAGACCAGAGACAGCTCTCTGTGCATGGGTACAGAGAAAAGATAATGGGAGGACACCCTGAAGTGTCCATTAGCAACCCATGGAGAGAGGCCCACAAGGAAGTCTGCTGGTACCTTGGATTTCCAGCCTCTAGAACTGTAACAATATAAATCTCTTTTGTTTTAACATTCAGTCTGTGATACTCCTTTAGCACAACCTGGGCAAACTAATATAGTGCGTGACAGCTATTTACATTTTGAATGAATCATTTGGACTATTCTAGGGCTCATTGGAAAGACGCTGGGATGGATATAAGTCAATAGGGAGATATCAATTAATATACTCTTTCAAAAGTCCAGGCGAGAAATATTGGTAACTCAATACATATTAGGAGAGAAATGAGGACTGGCAATAAGGAGGATGATTACTTAGAAATGATTCATCTTATGAATAAATGTTTATAAACATTTATCTAATAAATGTTTTAGATAGAAGCTTGTTTCTCTTTCGGGTGAAAGTCCAGAAGAAGGTAATACAGGACTGATACAGTGTTCCACAGTGCAAGGGAACCAGACATCTGTTTTGCTCACCTTGTAGCTTTATTGATAAGATGCCAACACAGTTCCAGCCATCAGATTCTAGCCAAAGGCAAGGCCTTTCCCTCTTGCTCAGAAGGAAAACAACATCCTTTCCAAATCTTTTCAGGTTCTCCAATGCCGCGCCTATTTGGGTGCTTTACCAAACCCCTTTTTGCCTCAATTCAGAGACATGAACAGGTTGAGTTTGACTGTCTGCTGCACTTACTCCCGCCCCTTCTTCCTACACGCCACAAGTCAGAAGGGAAAGGCTCCCTCCTTCCCACTCAGCAGGTACTTGCCTTATGTCATAGCCTTACTTGTCTCTACCATATGGCACATATTAAATGCCACTTTTAACTTTGCCAAGGTCTGGATTTTTAAATGCTATTGACAACTTACAATTTTATAAAAAAACAAAAAACAACTTTCTTTTTAGTAATGCCTAGCGCTTTCAAGTTTACAGTTTCTTGGGATTCAGAAATCCTAGTTTAGTTGACAAACCTGCTTTCTTTCTTGACATCATATTTCTATTTATCCTTTGACATTGACAGATATTTCAAGTCAAACAAGGAGAGGGTTTCAAAAGAGAAATTTTTTTTAAAATTCACATGCTTTCAAAGCTTATTATTACCATTATATATTTTTCTTGAAGCTGCCAGTCCTTTCATCAACTTTATATGAAATTTCTTTATCCTACATTATTTCCTGTAAGGGCAAATTTATCTCTATACTGGAGACAACAATAGGAATATAATAAGTGTCATAACTTTGAGTATCCATCTTTGAGATAATCACTACACATTAGAATTGAATGAATGTACAACTTGAATATGATGCCGCAGATGACCTAAATTGTGAAAAATCTTACAATAACTTGGTAGACTTAAAAGCCTAATCCTGGGCCCTCCCTGGTGGCACAGCCGGTTAAGGCACTGCACTGAGAAGCTAAAGCCACTTCCGCATGAGTTCGATTCCTGCCTGCCCCGGAGGTGACCCACATGGTGGAGGTGACCCACATGGTGCAGCAGACCTCTTCTGACCTACCTGCTGCTCCCCTCAGCAGTGTTCTTCGTCCATCTGCCTGTTCTGCTCCCCACTCTGTCTCTGGTGAAGCCTCTCACTGCCCCTGAGCCTCTGGCCTGTACCCCAGCTCTGTATGCACAAATAAATAAATCTTAAAAAAAAAAAAAGCCTAATCCTTTGTAGCTCATTTAAGTTCCAAGTCCCTGTAGTAAAAACTCTCCTGGTCTGAGATGTTGGGCTTCTGTTACCTATACATGCTAAGGGACAGGAGGTTATCTGAAAGCTGCTTCACCGAGCAGACACTGACAAAATATGCGGTACTTGGTCTGTGGCCCAAAGCCTATTTATCCAGAATAGTTCTCATTCTCAACTTGCGTGACCCCCCACCCTCTTACTCCACCCTCCCCCAATGACAACATAGGACAAAGTCTGGCCCTATTTTAGTGGTCACCCTTTAATGGGTAGAGGCCAGGGATGTTGCTAAACACCCTATAATGCATGCACAGACACCCACAAATAGGAATTATCAGATTCCAAATGTCAATATTGCTGAGATTGAGAAATCCTGGTTTAGAACATTCTATTGTTTCTGGGCATTTTTCACAAATCACTGTTTCCTCTTCTCCAGCTCCTATCTTCCCTGGATGGCTACAATAGCTTCCTGATTGGTGTCCTAGCTCGTGTCTTCACCTTCCACAGTTAGTTCTTTCTTTTTCATAGCTTTTTAAATCCTAACTTTTAATTTATATACAGTAAAATCCAGCAACCCAATTTATAGTTCTGTAAGCTTTAACAGACATGTCAAGGTCATGACCACAAACAAGGTGCAGAGTGTACTTTAATTTGCTAAGTCTTCACTATTCTGGTTTCATGTTCTTCAGATAGAAGCCCAAAGTGGGGTTGATAGTCTGACCATTGATAGGGCAGACAGTATTTCCATGTTTAGTTTTTAAAGGTAAACCCAGATCACTTTGCAAAATGGCTGTACCAGTTGATATGGCCGCCAACAATGTAAATTATGGTTCTTCTTTCTCCACATCCTTGCCAGCACTCATTTGTGGGAGTCTTTATTATGTATGCAGTTCTCATTAGTGTCAGATGATAACTCATTGTGATTTGGGCCTGTGTCTCCTGTATTAAAAGTGATGATGAATATTTTCCTATTGGCTATCTGGATAGCGTCTTTGATAATACCAGTTCTTTTTGTCTCTTTATCTCTCTAAATATGTAATTTTTAAGATTTTATTTATTTATGCCTATAGAACTGGGGTGCAGGCCAGAGGTGCAGGGGTGGTGAGAAGATTCACCAGAGACAGAGTGGGGAGTAGAATAGGCAGGTCGATGAAGTATACTGCTGAGGGTAGCAACAGGCGGGACAGGAGAGTTCTGCCACACCACGTGGGTCACCTTCCAGGCCAGGGAACTTGCACTAAAGAGGTATCAGACAGCTTGCAGTGCTGTGGTTTAGTCCACTGCACCTACAGGGAGGGGCCTCTTTTTATATATTTTTAAGGATGTATATTAAATCTATAGTTGTCCTGCAAGTTGCTTTATTATCTTGCCATAGGTTTTGGCAGTTGTTCCAATTCAGCACACAGAATATTACTTATGCTTTTTTGAAGGCTACATATAATTTTCCATTTGTTTGTAGGCTTTTGTTATGAGGGCAATGTTGTCACAGTTAATCTGAAATTATAATCTATGTATAGGAATTCCATGTGTAGGAATATACATACATACATACATATATATAATAAGTTTCCTTTTATTATATATGTATATATATACATACACAATTATATATATATAAAATAAGTTTCCTTTTATTGCTTCTCGGCCTTTTGGCTAAGATGAAATGTATTAAAATAAATTTCCTTTGTTAGTGATGGGTCACAGGGTTGCTCTATTCATTATAATTATAGACGTTGCTCAGGGAGTTTCTTCCTTTAAATTCTTGAGTTCAAGTTTTGCTTCTTCCAAACAACTTTTCTCACAGCATCAATTGCTAACTTACACCAATGAATCTATTCCTCTCACAGAAATTTATTTTTAGTGAATGATTAGGTAATCGCCATAGCAATCATCTAAACATCAATCATTATTCAACCATACTTCAATTAATAAATACTATAAAATAAATTATATTAGCCAAGTTCTGAAAGGTGGTGGTAAATGGAGGAGGGATTCCTGGGAGAGGTTGAAAGGAATAGAGTGAAGTGTGTTAAGCGTTGAGGGAGGTCAAATTTACAAGGTTGGCAGATGACAATACATATCGATTTAATCATATTATTATGAAATTACTCTCAGAGTTTTAGATAAATTAAAAGGACCTAAGCACTGCCTTGAGCTCTCAGTGCATTTTGCCATAGGCGTAGACGCTGGCGTTCAGGTTAATTTTGAGCCGCGCCTCTTGCCGTCTGCGTCACGTGTTGGCCCGCCGCGTTCGTCTGGGGGAGTGGCTCTGCCAGCGCTGGGACCGGAAGGGAGGCGGCGGTCGCGCCATTCTTAAAGGGACCAGAGGGGGAGGCGAGAGGCTGCTGACGGCCGGAAGGAAAATGGTGAGTTACCGCGGGGGAGGGCGGGGGCCGGAGGGCTGAGCCAGCCTGCTGGGCTTTCCTGATTTCCCAAGCCCTTGTCGGCTGGCGGTGCCCGGCGTGGCTCGGCGCCGCTCCCGCGGGCAGCCGGCGGGGCCAGAGTGCCGGAGACTTGGCCTTCCGGGCCGTCGCCGCCGCCCTGCCTAAGGGCAGCATCCTCCTGCAGTCCAGCGTCGACCCGCCCGGCGGGCTCTGGGACTGTGATGGAGGGTTCCAGCTCTTGATACCAATAGTCGGAGGGGCCAGTAGTTGGGCCCAGCAGAAGGCTTCTCCAAACGGGAGGTTCCCTGCCAGGGCCAGGCCTAAAGGGTGGGCAGGCGCCGAGCAGCTGGAGCTGGACACGGCTAGGGAGGGTCCACTCCCGACTCCATTCTTTTGGCGTTCTTTAGCCTCTGTCTCCTCCTGTTTGCCTCTGTCTCCTCCTGTTTGCCTCGAAGGATGTCTTTGATCTTTGCTTGCTTTGTGTGGAGTCTGTTGGAAACAGCCCCTTTTGACCCAAGGCTTTGGCAACTTGAAATATGAGTCAGAAGCTTTAGTTTTGCCTGGAGTGGGGGCTGTGGCTTCGGTTCTCCTATGGGACGGACTCTGCGCTCAAAATAAAGTGGAATATTACATTAGGTGCCCAAGCAGGATGTTCTGGATCTTCCGCATAGCTTTTAAAATATTCCCATTTCTTTAATTACAAAAAAATACCCTCCTTACTCTCCCCCTCCCCCACATTCCCCCCCCCCCGATTTTACCCTCCCATGTCCTATCTCAGATTGGCCACCTATTTCTTTGCCCACCTCCATCTAAAGATCTTGTTATGGTCACGGTCGCCAAATCTAAGCGCTCTCTTTCTCATCTTTCCTGACCTTTCAGCTGCTTTCTGAGTATTGACACTTCTTTTTGAAGCATTCTTGGCTCATGCTTCCTCCTTGAATTCTGGGGTACAGAACTCCTGGTTTTCCTCCTACTTGCCCTATTGGTCCATCTGTGTCCTGTCCTGCACACTGTTCTTCCCTGGACATCTCACTGAGGAGACCTAGGCTTCACTAATCCTTTTTTGTTTGCTCGTTTTTGTTTTTCATTTTGTATTCTATCACCATCTTTTCTTACATGTACTTGTGGCTTCAGTTACCACCTACCTATGTGCAGGTGACTAGTGACCTTGTATTGCAGGTCTTGTTTTTAAGATCCAGCCCAGATCTATATATTCCGCTATATAATTAACATCCCTGGGAAGCTTTCACCACTTGGGTGACTTAAGAGCCACCTCATTTTGTCCATAATTGAACTCATGTTCTTCTTCAAACTGGTCTCTCTGTTTCGTAATTTAGTGTAAAGTAGCACATCAGTCTTGCAGAAGTGAGAAGTAGGAGTCTCTACTTCATAAGCCACCTCTTCTCCTTTCAGTTCCAGTGTGTCACCCACCAGCTCCTTTGGACTTAGGAGTCTGGCTGCCTGGGTTCAATCCTGGTTCCATTAGTTTTGTAATTTTGGAAAAGGTACTTTTAGTTTCTTGTAAAATGGAGACTAACAACCCATCTCATGGGGTTCTTTTGAGTATAAAGGAGGTTCCATATAAAGGTCATAGCACAGTGTTCTCTTCTGTAGTTAATACATGTTAATTATTATTAGCAGTATTCACCTACCTCTTTTTATCCTCTGTCTAAGCCACTTCGTCTCCCACCTGAATTACTAGTCTTGCCAGTTAACTAGTCTTGCTTGCTTCTTTTATCCTACCTCTTTAATTATTCCCTATAGTCAAATTTGATCACATTTCTTATCAGCACCCTACTTGAAACACTTTTGTGTCTTTGCTTTGTTTGCTAGGAGAGAGACCAAAATACTTAAATAACCTATTGTGCCCTTTGTACTCTGGAGCCTACCAACCTCCTCTTATATTATAATCCATGTTCTTGCTCATTCTTTGTGCTTGAGCATGGATTTTCCATGCTTACTTAATTGGAGGATCTTTGTACAGGCAGTTTTGGGCCTTCACATGCCTTTTATCAGGAAGAGCTCCTGTGACTGCTGTCACTCACTAGTCATCAGACCAGTGGTATCTTGTGTCTTTCCTTCCTAGCTCTATCAAAGCTCTAAATATATTTTGCCTGATTCATTTAACATAAGTCTGTTCTCTACTATAGTGAAAGTGCCTGAAGACAAGCCATGCTATTTGTTTATTTTATATGTTGTATCCCTAACACTTAGCACAGTGGTGGCATTCATTAAATGTTCACTGTATGATAAACCAATAAATGAACACTTGAACTCAAATTGCCACTTAACTTTCTTTGTGCATTATCATTTTACTATGTAGAGTTGTTTTCAAGGCATATACTCTTAAATGTTTATGTTAATTATCAGTTGTTAGAATTGTCCTTTTCTCTTGTAGGAAGAAATTTTTGGTCTTATGGTATTAGAAAGTGTGGAAAGCAGTACAATTAAATCACAGTATATTTTTCACTGAGTTTCTGATCTTTAGGGTCTCAGGATTACACAAGCAGGTCTAGTATCAGAATTGGAAGATAAGATTCATAATAAATTGGTCTTTGCTTAGCCAAAAATCTAAAATATTTAAGACTTTCACTAATGGGCTATATATACCTTGGTTGAATAGATAATAGAAATTCTTGTTTCCTGATTTCTGTATCTTACTTGAAAGATGGGGGAGAAGACTTATTGTTGAAACTGACTTCAGGAAGCACCATATGATTATAGTATCTCTTTATCTAAAGAGAACTAAAAGAATGGGTGTATATGATTCCTGCAAGAGCCTTAGTTATTAGATAGGACCTGTTGGTGGGGTTTGCTTTCTAATTGTATAATCATTTATCACCTTATATGTTACCAGTATTCTCAATTTTAAAATTATAGTTATTTCCTACCTTAACATGTACTCACCAGCACAGGGTCAAAAAAAATTACACATTCATTATGAACTTTTTACTTTAACTTAAAATCAGAAGCTTTATTCCTTCTGGACACATATGTTCAGTATTGGTCTCCTAACTGTCCAGAGTTTCTTGAAGAAGGGGGAAAAAACTATACGTGGACCTTGTTAATAAAAATTTGAAATAGTAAGGGTAATTTAAACTCTTATCTGAATGTGTGAGACTGGAACTATTCAGTTATTTTTTTAGGTGCAGTGATGTTACTATTCACATATATATATATATTTAAAGATTATTCATACAGAACTGGGGTATAGGCTAGAGGTGTAGGGGTGGTGAGAGGATTCACCAGAGACAGTGGGGAGCAGAAACAGGCAGATTGACAAAGTACACTGCTGAGGGGAGCAGTGGGCAAGTCAGGAGAGGTCTGCTGTACCATGTGGGTCACCTCCAGGGCAAACTGGCACTGAAGTGGCTACAGTTCCTTTCAGTGTTGCTCTTTAACCCGCTGCACCATCAGGGAAGGCCCTGTTCTTATATTTTTAATGGCACATACTGTTATTTCTAATGATATATACCAAAGTACTTATGGTTGAAATGATTTCTGGCCTTGGTTGTTTGGCAATCCCTGGGGCTAGGATTGAGGGTATTGAATAAAATAAAACTGGCTGTGTTGAAAATAGTTGGAGCTCAGCTGAGTGATAAATACATAGGATGTCACAATTACTATTTTCTACTTTTGTGTGTTGCAAGTTCTGTGATTCATTAAAAAAAATCTGTCCACTTCTTGCAATCAATCTTATAGTTGTACTACTAACATAAGATTGCTTTCGATTGTTTTCTTGCCAAATATCTAAGGAGGAGTCTAATATTTATCATTTGTAAAGGCTTTTTTAGTTTTTGTGCTTGTTTCCTTTGGCTTTGCTTTCATAATTGTCAGTGACTCCTTTTTAAGAATCCCTGTAGTAGTTAAAGTATAAAATGTTGCTGATCTTTACTCTTATGGTTTATTTTTCATACTTTTGTTTATTTGTATATTTTTCATAGTTGTGAGACCAAAAATGCACCAAGGTCTTATTAATTCTAAGTACAATGAGGTGATTTCCCTATTTTCCTGCAAGTGCAAAAGAATCAGACAGTGACCCTTTACTTTTCCCAAAATTCTTCCCTTTCTCTCCAGTTCTGATAAAATTGTGTGATTAATGTCGGTACAAAGGTTGGTTTAAAAACTCATTAAGTGTTCACTTGCATCGCTTTTTTATGCTTTCACGTAAGTGACATTTGTAGATGTCGGTATCCCTTTTTAAAGGCATTTTTATAATATGTACTATGTCAAAGTCATGGCATTTTGTTATTTTTTTCTTTTCTAGAGTGAGTCTTTGGTGGTTTGTGACGTTGCTGAGGACTTAGTGGAGAAGCTGAGAAAGTTTCGTTTTCGCAGAGAAACAAACAATGCTGCCATTATAAGTAAGCAAAAAGTGATTGCCTCATTTGCATGGTGTTAGTTTGTTTTATTCCACACCTACAATGAATAAGCTGAACCTTTAGAATGTATTTGTCTCCTCTTTTAAATGCTCCCTCCCCTTTTAGATCTATTGAAAAGGTAAGTAACAGCTAACTTCTCAGAACAGAGGTAGCTTGTCTTGTATCCTCCATAGGTCTTCTCTTAGCTGCTTACCCAGCTCTGGAGAAATATGTTCTTGGTCACTTGGTCATTCATAGTGTCCCATCCAATTTATGCTTTAACTTCTCAGGGGAGTAAAAGTATATGGCCATTTATATTCAAGCAGAAACTTATGCCCCAGCCTAAAATGGTAAACTTCAGCATTGTTAACTGTCTTCAGAGTGATATTGGACTTATTTCAGTACTAGACTTGAATTTTAGTTTTATGGGGAGTGTTCTTAAGTACTTATCACCTCTGACAATGGAAAGAATAACTTGCATATTATCTCTTCCATTGTGAGTTGCATCTGATTTTACCAGGATTTACCTTACAGCCTTAGATAATATTTAATATGCAGGCAGTAATTAAGAAGATGAAGGAAGATGAGGGACTGAAAATGCAAAACTAAATGGAGTGCTTAGTTAGGATGCATCTGGTACATGTGAATTAATGAGTTGTTAACAACTTACCATGAATTTTAGTTCTATTACTAATAAATACTGTAATGTAGGCATTGCATTTCGTTCTTAAAAGAAAATGTCAGCATCATCACAAAAAGTAAAGCTATTGGAAAACTATTATAAAATTAATGAAAAGCCAAAATGGCCAGCTTTTTACAGTAATAGAAAAGATTTAGAGGCATAGGGTATTTCAGCATTTTTTCAGTTTGGCTTTGGATTATTTTTTATCTGTTTGAATATAGATATCACTGCTGGAGAATCTGCTTTACCAGAATAATCATACTGTACCATGAAATCCTGACACTAAAATTTGGTGATCTGGCAATTATTTTGTCCTGACCTCTCATCTACTTTCTACTTTCTGTTGTAGTTCTAACCATATTATATATATGAGTCTAATAACTGTCTCAATCGCAGTCATTCTCTGACTTTTTATAATAGAAAGGTTGCATTTGAGTTACAATGTTTTTCACATACACAATAGATGTATCTTATTGAATTAAAATTCTGAATAAGCAAATTAAGCTCTATGAATTGTGGCTAAAGCTTTTAAATGCTGACTGCTTTAAAGCAGAGCTACCTGTTAGACAATAACCAAAATTTTGAATGAGTATAATGCTGTGTTTCTTGATGTTTTAATTTCGAACCCAGAAATAAGGGCTGAGACTCTGTGGGTTGTATAGATTAAGGTCACATTAGTTTTACTCATACTGTATTTTTATTTCAGTGAAGATTGATAAGGATAAACGCCTGGTGGTACTGGATGAAGAGCTTGAGGTTTGTTTGATCAGCTAATTGCAATTTTATAGCTACTATTTGCTCAAAATCATGATTCCCCAAAAGATGCTGTATTAATTTTACGTACTTTTGAAGTAAGTTCTAAAACTTTAAATACGTGCTCATTATGTATGAAAAGCATGTGCTAATTATGGTGTAGCACATTTTCTTGCTAACTTAATCACCATCTTTAGAACATTAATGAAATGCAGTGCACATGTAGTAGAAAGTAGGACTATGTACCCAGTAAAAGCTGAGTTGATTTTATAAGTTGCTTGACTGAGTTGGTTGACTAGTAACGAAACACAAAACTCTGTAACATAAATACTTAGTCAAATTAAGTAACAAAGTTAGAGTGAAAAGAAAGGAGCTTTTCTTCCCTAAGTATCAGACACTGTTGTTTCCTCTGAGGGGTTGGCATATTCATTCATTCTTTCCTGAAAATTGAAACATGGGCATAGACTACTAAATGGAACTAAACTGAGTGAGCCTTTATTGGATTGAGGGTTTAATAACCTGAATTTACATAAAATTTAGTAAAATAAAATTTTATGTTGTGGTATATAGTTATTAATTTATGCCTATATGTAGAATAGATGCTCAGTATATTTCCAAGGATTTATGATTAAGAAAATGCTTAAAAATTATTTCTCTTTATGGTATCAGGGCATTTCACCTGATGAACTTAAAGATGAACTACCTGAACGACAACCTCGATATCCTTTTCTTAGTGCTTTAAAAAGATGTTTTCTTTAGTGGTCAGTGTTTTATTTATAAGGTCATTTTGTTTGATTTTTTTTTTTAAAGACAGGTATTCTTAAAATATGTGTACAGGTATTAGACTAAGATAAATGAAAAACTGATGTGTGGGTGATGTAAACACACACTTTAACAAATTTATTTTTTAACAATTATATATTTCTCAGGACCAATGATATTTTTGTGGAAAGCAAAGAATAATAAAGCTGTGGCCTAAGTGAATTGATAGAAATTTACTGCTTACCAACTCCCTGCTATATATATTTTTTCACAGCATTGTTATTAGTAAATAGTTGTTTCAAGTAGAACAATCATTTTAATTTCTTTAACTTGAGAAAAACCTTCATTGTATATAGTTATAAGTATCAACATGATGATGGAAGAGTTTCCTATCCTCTGTGCTTTATTTTCTCCAGTCCTGTTGGTAAGTGAATATTTGGTTTTGATTAAATCACTTTTATGCTATAAAAATTTGATACTTTTTTTAAAGGTAAAAAATGTTAACTAACTCTAAATTGAGGCATGTGAATGTGTGGAAAGAAATTACTACCAAGCATCATCTCAGAGAACTTGCTTATTTTTTAGGAGAACATCCTAGAAATGTAATCATTAGGTCAAATCATATATTCATTTTAAGGAACTTGAAACATAATCACATTTTAAAATATCAAAAGTACATTTTCTTGTGTATTTTAATTTTGCTTACAAGTATGAAAACACGGTAATAGTCATGAGAGATTGTTTAGCTTGAAAAAAGCATATACCATTGACTTTGAGAATAATTCCAGAATTACTTACATTGGATATTAAAATGACTATTATCACCAGAATTACCACTATCTCCACCATGCAAACCCACACTAAAGTCTCTACTCACTGATTTCTTCTCTAAGCTTTATTATTTGTATCAATTGCTTGCCATCTTTTATATGAGACACTTGCTTTAATATGTCTCATTGTTTTATGGAGTTTTTGAAAGGTAAAGGTAAGAGAGATATTTGCTCTCAATGTAAAATACATGTTTAGCTTAATATGTAAACAGACTGTAACCTCTTTAGGACAGATCTCCCTACTCCAACACCCTACTCTACCCCAAAACCTTGTATGTTTTAGGTGTTGCTACATTGACTTTGATTTTTTTTTTTTTTTAAAGATTTATTTATTTGTGCATACAGAACTGGGGTACAGGCCAGAGGCTCAGGGGCGGTGAGAGGCTTCACCAGAGACAGAGTGGGAAGCAGAACAGGCAGATGGATGAAGTACACTGCTGAGGGGAGCAGCGGGCGGGTCAGGAGAGGTCTGCCACGCCATGTGGTCACCTCCGGGACAGGCGGGAATCGAACTCATGCGGAAGTGGCTTTAGTTTCTCAGTACAGTGCTTTAACCCGCTGCGCCACCAGGGAGGGCCCAAGATAGTGTCAAATTTTTTAAGTGCTTTCAAGAATCTAAAAATCAAGATCTCCAGGGATCTAATTTTATTTATTTTTTATAGTTCAGCTATTGTATTTCTTTGTGCTGGCAGTATGCAGTTATAAAACTTAAAATATAGTCTATATACATTTAAACTGCAGTTACTATACATTGATAGCATAATGTTATCATTTTATTTATTTTATATATATATATTACATTATTCTTCATTGTGTACATTTTTTCATCTCAGTTGTAATCCCCATGGACTTCCCACGACCATTTCACCCATGTGCCATCACCATAGTCCACCTCAGTTTTGATCTTGTTCTTCTCTCCTCCCCCATAGAATGTCTCTGGTTTATAGTTGGTTAGTTGTTCTTTTTTTTCTTTATTACAATTTAAATGCATCATTTTTTAAAAGTAAGTTACAAAATCATCACTTCTTCAAAATCTAAGGCTCATTTCCACTCTAATCTCTTTTCCAGGATGTAAGCCTGAACAACAGATGATGTATGCTGGGAGTAAGAATAAGCTTGTCCAAACAGCTGAACTAACCAAGGTCATATTTATATACTTACATATATTTACTGATTATACATAATACCGCTTATTGAGACATTATTTCCTGTTAGCATATAAGTAATCTGAAGACTTGCGTACGTTTTTAGGCTGGTGAAAGTTAGAGTAACAAATTAGTCAAAGCTTTTTACTATTTGGAAGTAAAATAATCAAGTCTTTAATCACAGTGTTTTTTTTGAATGGTAGCTAAGTAGAAAAAAATCATATTCAAAATGTAGGCAGCTTTAGAAAAGTTACTGTAACTATTCAATCTATTAAGAGTTTTTTTTTTTTTAAGATTTATTTTATTTGTGCATACAGAACTGGGGTACAGGCCAGAGGCTCGGGGCAGTGAGAGGCTTCACCAGAGACAGAGCGGGGAGCAGAACAGGCAGATCAACAAAGTACACTGCTGAGGGGAGCAGCAGGCGGTCCAGGAGAGGTCTGCCACGCCATGTGGTCACCTCCGGGGCAAGTGGGAATCAAACTCATGGGGAAGTGGCTTTAGCTTCTCAGTGCAGTGCTTTAACCTGCTGTGCCACCAGGGAGGGCCCTATTAAGAGTTCTTTATCTGCCATAATATAAATTCTAACAGATAAAATTATGCATTGAAGCATCTCTGAACCATATTTTATACAGAAATTCCATATTATGCAGTTAACTGTTTCCAAATTTAGTACTAAATTGCTAAGAATACTTATTAATAACTTTATTTAGCTGGAACCTTCTATATATGAGATGCTTGCATTAACATGTTTCATTGTTTTATGGGTAATGTTAAGAGGGATACTTGCTCTCAAGCTTTAACTTGTGCATATTAGTTGAGTCGAAAAATTATATTTAAGGTTCTGAAGAATATTGCATAATTAAAATGGTATTAAACAAGATTTTGGTTTTAAAGTCATAATCAGCAATCATCAGTTTAGGGGATATCTTTAAGTACCCTCTAGATTTTCCTTTCAGGCCATGTGGTTGTCATTGACCCCACCAATTGATGGAAGTAGTACTCTTCCTCGTTTGTACTATAAGAACGCCTGGATTTGCTCTAAGGCGTTTTGTGGTTAAGAAAGTTCTATTGACAACCTCATGTCTCTTCTATCCAGGCCTGCCCCAATGTGTTGGAATTAAGGCATTACAGTTTATAAATTACTTTTATAAATAATCCCATGGAATTGATGGTAGTACTCCTAGTTGGTAGACAGATAAACTGAGTTCCAGAAGATGATTGACTTACCCAGGGCTATGTAACAGTAAGTGACAGTTAGGATTCAAACACATCTGGCCTCATATCCCATCCCTGCTCTTGTTTCTCATTATATTGTCTCTTTATAACCATTGTACTTTCTAGACCTGCGGATGTTTTAGTTCTTGTTGGAGATATGTGGCAGTTCATGGTATTTCCTCCACCTATGGAGGATTGGCATGTGTTCTTCCAGTTCCTTGCTAGAATGATTTTAGTTGTGTATTAGTAATACTGGATAAGACTTACAGAACTGCTCTTATAAAATGTTTGTAGATTTGTGCTTTAAGAGAATTTTGTTCTTAGGCTAGCTTGATTGCTTAACTATTGTCTGAGTGCTTAGCATTTAAAAAAGTACAGTACCTGACGAAAGGCATATCTAGTTTACACAGATTAAGTCAGACCAATATGGAAGGAAGGAGAATTTGTATTTAATACTCAAATATGTAAGTATTTTTGATTTTTTTGTTTTGAGAGTCTCAAAATATGACCTAATTTTTTTTTCCTTCAGGTATTTGAAATAAGAAATACTGAAGACCTAACTGAAGAATGGTTACGTGAGAAACTTGGATTTTTCCACTAATGTGAACTTCTGTGTTTCTAAAGTATTTATGTATTAAACTGACCATACTGGAACCAGACATAAATACTTATTTATGCCTAAAAATGCACTGTTACTTACAGTTTTTTTCCTGCAGTAAAGACAAATTCTTAATTTGTTCAAAGTTGAACAAAGAGGAAATCATCTTCATAGTAATGAAACTTTGTAAAGTGTTTCCTTATATTTGTAATTGTTAGGTGGACTACTTCTTTCCAGGGACTTTTTGCACTCTTGTGACTAATTTCTATACCTTTTGGTTCAGAGTTTGTTACTATTTGCAGACACCATTGGAAAGTGGGTATTAGATTGTGATAGACAACAGTTGCCTCCTTTTGACAGATACTGGATATTAGCAGTTTATATATGAAAGTAGCATATTATCACTTGTCAAATTTTTGAAATTACTTTGGGGTAAAGTACTTGAGTGACCCAATTTGAGCCATGAATAATAATTTACTGTGTGTGTAACTTACATTTTAGTTCATCAATTCCATGCCTTTTTTGATTTCCTGTATCTAATCAAGTCCAGAAATTTTCTTCATCAATTGCTCATTCTTAAGGTATGGGAATTAGATTTCATAATGAAGTTATGACTGCTAGGTTTTCTTTTTATGGAAAATAGCATCTTAATTTTAGAAATGATGGATTATAACTAAATAAGGGCTTATTCCTGGTTGTGTCATTTCTAGATAATTTCAATCTAGGTTAATAATACTTTATTTATAAAGCTCCTCTTACTATTGTCCTATGAACACTAGTTATTTTAAATGTGTTGATACTGTGCCTTTTATTTGTTAGCTTTAAAGTTAGTTTAAGACTTTTACACTGTCAGTATTCCAGATTTGGTGAAATTAATACTTTTGTAAAGGGTCCAGTTAAAAAAATTTTCTAATGTGTGTATCTGAAATTTGTAATAAAATCAACTGAATAGTTTTAAAATTCCAACTATCTTGCATTGGTGAACATATGGCAGTTGAGAGTTATAATTCTGGCTATGTTTGTGCTTAGTTTTGTGCCATAGGGAACAAAAAATTACTTAAAACCTTGGCCATAAATAATAACATTAACACATCAGTAGAAACTGCATCTTACATCTTATCATCAGATATTCTAAATTAGGCACCTGTCTTGCTAGAGGAAGGCATTCTTGGCACAGTCCAAGGATTCCAATACACTGTGTACTTTAAAAGCAAACATAAATAACTGTGTTAACATTCGTCTAAAGGTCTTGAAATTAAAGACTAACCAGATTTGATGAGTGAATTCTTATACTGAGTAGCAATCATTTCAAAACTAGCAAAGGCATTTTTATGTTGGTTTATTTTCCACTCATATGTTCTTTGCAATTATTTTTTTTGAGGTTTCCATGCCAACTTTAATAAAGAGATGAAGATAGTTGGAATTTTCCTAATACTGAATAGAGCATTTTCTGTTCCCAACACTGTTTGGCTTCACTAATCTAGAAAATAGGGAGCAATGGGAAATTAGTAAGAGATGAGGAAGTGCTAGAGTTGGTATTTGTTTTGGTAATGAATAGGAAGCTTTCTCCATTCAGATTGCCACAGAGTGAGAGAACTTTACCCAGGAAATTTAGGAATTCTTTAAGCAGCTATTTTGATATTGGAAAATAATGCTTATAACTGCAGAAATGCAAATGTAATCCAAGTGACTGGAGTGTTTTTAATGTTTTTGAATGAAGGACATGAGATTTTGTTTTACCTGGTTCACAGCAATAAGAGAAAATTACTAGTTGCTACAAGATTGTATTTTTGAGTGAGATTCCTTATTTTGCTTGCATGTTTTACTTTTTTTTTTAATTTGAAAGTCCTTCATAATGACATATAGAGAGTTCTTTGCCCAGGGGCAAAGAATTGTGTTAAACCGTACTTTTTTGGGCTTGTCTAACTCCTAATCCTGTATTTTGTAAGCCAAGAGATAGAGAGGTTAGCGATAAGTAGAATTTTTTTATCCCTATGTTTTTTTACCCCTCTACAGGGAGATTTACAAATCCTATACATGAGTGTTTTCAGATTTTTATATATAACTTTCTTCTGCATCTAGTCAAGTTTTGCATTGTTTTCAACTGTATTTCTTATTTGATCTCTTTTTCTGACTTCTTTCAAGTAATAACTCCAAAGATCATAATTCCATTACTTACATTCCTTATATTTCTGGTACAGCCATTCCCATTCAACCTTAAATCATAATCTTCCCTTTTTTGACAGCAGCTGTTTTCCTGGGAATCTCCTTCATGGTCTCCTGAGTCAGCACTAGTTTTAAAATCGTTGGCCTTGCATAAGTTATACAGTGCATCTAATGTGAAAATAAATCCAACTAGTAATCACAGTATGTTTTTAATGGTTTTATGGCAACATAAATGACATATGAAGACAATTGTTCTCAGGTTATTATGCTGAAATTCCAAAATCTCAGAGTTTTCAATAGTATTTACTTTGTTTTTGGTATTGAAGGAATTATATTAGGAAAAATTTGGTTGGTTGACTGTTTTTGTTTAATTGACTTCTAAAATAAAGGTACAAATTGCCTATTTCTAAAAAGTTTACTAAATGCCTCATGAAGTCAAATACATTTTTGTTTAAGAGGATAGTGTTAAATTTTTTATTGTCACTGCTAAATAATCTTTGTAGCAAAATGTCTGTCAGCACTTTTTTCTCCCTTTTTACCTCCTGTTTTCAGGAGTCAAGCGTAGCCATAACTATCCTCATCCAACACTTGAACTAAAATTTCCAGTTACAGGAGTTTATTGCCAAATTACATTTGGCTGTCTGTATTCCCTACCCAGATACGTAATAATGAGGAGTATATAAAATAACGTTTGGACTGCTTTTAAAACCCAATGTCATTATTCCATAATGTGGACTAGTGATGAGTAGATATTTTCATAAGAAGGTAAATGCTGATATTTGGTGGAAGTAGAGAGTAACTCGTATTCTATCAATTCAGATATTCATAGTATGGTTGCTGTCCCTACTTGTTCTGATAATACTGGAATCTACAGAATGTGAGCCTTTAAAATTTATGTGAAGAAGCATCTCATACATTTCTGGACAAATCTTACTTTGTATTTCTGGAATATTATAAATCTCCTAGGCTACTTAATACCAGTGGTCCCACGTTGAATATTCTTGAGAAATTGGGTTCCTATTATGCCATTTAACATTTTAAATCAGTGATCATGTTCCTGTAATATTTAAAGTTCCATTATGGTTGTGATAGAAGCTGTTTTCTTGCTTTTTTGAATGTAATTCATCCACATATATAATTACTTGAATGTTGTTTGGCATCAATAACATGCCAAGACAGTTCCCATTGATTTAGAAGGTCCAAAATTATCTCATACAGGAGGCTTGAAACATTAATGGTTTAGTCTTGTGAATATTAACAGTTCCCTGTCATCATTTAACAAGATCAGCAACTGGCACAACTTCCCAAGCTGTGGTTTCAGTCTCTGCTAGTTCATATTGCATGTTTATTTTGGACAGTCTTCTGTTAAGCATGGTGCTTGTATTGGTTTAAATAAAATGTTAACATGAAAGGACTTCAAGCTTTTCATTTTTTACTCGACCGTTCTCCTTAGCACTAATGGACAACCAAGCCCAAATATGCCAAAGCCCTTTGTTAGCTAGAAATGCCCTGGTCACTGCTCCTTGCTGAAGGGAAGTCTTTAGGCAGCTGTAACTTGTCCCACTGACTGCTTCCTGCCCTTCCTACCTCAAAATACACAGGATCTCTGTCTTCTGGCCTCCACTGGTTCACCTAAAGGCAGCCAGCCTGGAGGTCATTGTCTGACTACTATCAAACAAGGAACTGGGCCAGTCCATTAAGTACCTTTTACCCGTCAATTCCTGACACTGGGGAAAGGCACTTTCATACTTTATAGTTTGATTCCTCCCATTGGGGAAATGATCTCATTCCCTTGAATGAGGCAGTTAGATATCCTTGGGAGAATGCCATCAGTTGGAGAACAGGCCTTGGGCCACCTATGGAGGAGAGGGCAAGGAGATGCCAGTTTGGCAGTACAGAACGCATTAGGCATGCAGAGAGTAGTAGCTGAACCATGTTAAATTTAGGTGGAACCTCCAAGGATACCCTTCAGGTTCCTTCCTGAGGCCTGTTGGTCAGCTTTTTCTGGGTTCCTCTGTATATTTGTCTTTCATCAGAAGCCCCTTATTTATGTTAATATGGGTATGGCTGCTTACTTGTGCACAGAAAGCCCTAATCTGCAACCTCTGGTTTTCTTCTGTTCTATTCCCTACATTTCAGTCCTCTTAATACAGTCATGACCCTGATGTTGATAGAAAGACCTTCTCCTTATGCTGCTGTTTATGCCAAATCAGCAAAGAATCATCTCAAATATCTAAATCATGAAGTCCATTGTTCGTTCAACTAAATACAGCACTCTCTTTAAAAAATCACTAAACAACTAACATCATTAGAAAATACAAATAAGGGCCTTCCTGGTGGCACAGCGGGTTAAAGTACAGCATTATGATGTTATCTGTAGCATGAGTTTGATCCCTGGCCAGGGAGGTAACCCAAATGGCACAATAGACTCTCCTGTCTCACCCACTGCTCCCCTCAGCAGTGTATTTCAGTTGATCTGCCTGTTCTGATCCCCACTCTGTCTCTGGTGAATCCCCCCACCCCCGGCACATCTGGCCTATACCCCAGTTCTTGTACGCATAAATAAATCTTTCCCCAAAAATACAAATAAGCAAAAGGAAGAAAAACTTCTAGTACCCAGAGAAATCTTTTGTGACATTTTTGTTATCTCCCTACTTTTGGAGAAAACTGCTGACCTCATCATTATTTGCTCATCTAATTATGGAACTGCTCATTTTTTCCAGGTAGTAAACATCCCAGTCTAGTATAATGTCAAAACTTCAACATCTATGCGTGGAAGTCCCCTCCCTCATCCCTCCATTTCCTCCATCTCCAGGCATACTTCAGGCTGGGAAGTGGGTACAGTGTGTGTCCTACCTTCTTGCTCCCCCAACCATGTTATCTCAAAGCTGAGACTGGAAAGAGAGGGACATCACATGGGAGAAAAATCACTGATCTGGTGTAGATGGAATCTTGGGAGTTGCTGTCTTCTGAGGTCACTGTCAAATAGCAATTCTTTCCCCCAGGAAGTGATGTAGCTTCCTTGCACATTCTCGCTCTGGACCTTTGCCTGCAGGTCCCTTGGTTTGGGTTATGCCTCCTGTGGCTAGATGCATTTAAGCCATATCTGGGTAACAAGAAAATGCAACTCTGCCTTGTTGCCCTCAGGGAGGGTGCAGCTTGGTCTCTACCATCAAGGCACTCAGATCTACTTCATCCTTTCCTAGCCCACTATACCTGACTATACCTGAGCTATGCTGGGCTTATTTTTATTCTTCAAGCTCACTAAACTGAAGCCTTTTTACCATCAGTAGCTTCTTCCAGGGAAGACTGTGTTCATCACCTTTACCCCCATATTCCTATACTTGGTTTTCTTCTGATTTGATCTTTTCACTCACAGGCTTTTCCCCTGATCATCCATCCAAAGGTAGCAACACATTTACTATCATACTGCATCTGGTTTAATTCTTTGCATACTAAGTACCCCCACCTGATATTTTTCCAATTTATGTAACTGATTTGCCTCAGGACTCCCAAACAGAATATGTACAGTTGATTTTTTAATGATTTTTCAAAAAATGCTACCTCAGCCCTGTTGGACCTTTTTTCCCCCCCACCTCTCTGGTGAGAAAAGTATTTTTGAGGACCATAAGATTTCAGTTACTTGGTTGTTACAAAGATTCAGTTCTGTTCATTGGAAAGATTCTATCTCATAGTAGATTCAAAAGCACAGGCTTAATGGAGTCTTCTTGCCCAGCTTCCTTGCTCTACCACTTTGGCTTTTCCTTCTGTTGTTGGGAGGGGAGGAAGGCAGAAAAGCTGTTGGCTACTGTGGGCCCCAGGACATGTTGACTGGGTCAGCTTCTTTCTTTTGTGCCTCCCTGTGTTGCTGGTAACGCATGACCTACTTGGTCATGAGTTTCAGGAATGAGGGAAGTATTGGGTTAATAATGATCACTGTTTTCCTTAGCTTTCAGTGTGTTTATTGCTATTTTTTCCCCAAGTACCCCATCAGATTACTCAGATGCCTAGCTATTTTTCCAAATGCTTCAATAACTAAGAAAATCTGTCAGTTCCTTCTTTTTGGCGCCCTCCCTGCCTGTCTGTATTCCTCCTTCAAAAATCTGTCCTGAGTGCTCTGTCGGCATGAAGCTCAGCTGCCTTCTTGGAACTTCCTTTGTTTATTGGCTTCGCCATTGGAGTCCTTAATATCCCATGGATTCTCCATCTAAACTAGTTACTTTGCTGAATAACTAGTGGCAGGAGAGTTTTGTATTTTTGAGAATGTTTACTCTATCTTCACAGTAGATGTGTGGATTTCCTTGCTTTGCCTCTCCAGAACCACAGTATCTGGTCTCTGTCCCCAGGGGGCTGAGGCTTAGAAATTACCCCAACAGGCTTCTTTGTGGTCTAATTTCAGCTTTAGTTAGGGCCATCTCTGGGGCTTCCTTGCCAGGCATCGTCCTCCATTGAACGGCTTTCCCCCACTAAGACAGTCCTCTTCACATGAAGTTCTTTTTCTGAATCTGATAACCATTGCCTCCTTGAGCTTAGGGATGCAAACAGCTAAGTTTTGAGGACTTCTGTTCCCTTCTTGTTTTTAGTATTAGCCCTATGTCATGTCTCCTTAAATAATTAAATCTGAGTGCATCACCTCTCTCATGGGTATTAAGTCATGAGAATTTTATATGCATTGCACATCATGCTGTTAAGGAGTCTGATACCAGTCTCACTGCAACTCTTTTGAAAAGTACATTTTTTTTCTTTCTGGAAGCTCTTGGGAATTTTGGCCTTGGTTTTGATATTGTGAAATGTCTCAGTGATGAAACATGGTGAGGATCTTGTTTCATGCATTATGCTATATATTTGATGGATCATTTGAATCTGGAGATTCACAATCCTTAGGTCAAGGAAACTTTTTTTCAGTATTTATTTATCAGTGTTTATTGTATTACCTCTGTGTTTTTTGTGCTCTTCCTAGAACTCTTAGTGTTTTGGGTATTGTATCACTTACTTTGATTCCCTAAATTTACCTTGCTTTTCCTAGAATTCGTAGTGTTTTGGATGTTGTACCACTTACTTTGAGTCTCTAAATTTATCTTTTCTATTGCTCACATCTTTTTTTTTTTTTTTTCACATTCTGGAGACCTGCTTCAACTTTTTTTCCAACACACTTATTAATTTTAAGTTTTCAGTTATATGTATAAAAGCCATGCAACACAGGTGATTTGGTGATGGAAAGCCCACGGGGATTACAATTGAGATGGAAAAAGGCACTAAATGATGTAACAAACTATTAATAAAAAAATTCAACTCAATAAAGAAATACAAAACACACAAAAGCCATGCACGTCTTATTAAGTAAGAATTAACAAGGTTAAGTTATCAAGGATAACAAATTTTCTTCATAGTTCATAAAATACCTCAAAATGCATTTATATTTCAACAAAGAACTTTTATCTTGGAATAGGCAGCTCACAGCATCATTGTAATAAAATATTTTATAAATAAATTTAAAAAGCTATGACTACATATTTTGAAATTCCTCTTCTAGTTTAAGTTCCACACAGCATACATATATATCTGGTAGGAACAGGGAGGAGATGGTTCCTGGGATTTGTATCAGCTGGCTTTAACTACCTGGAGTGGGTGTGGGGAAAAAGGGAAAAATCAGCATATTCCCCACATGTCTAGGCCCAGTGTAGACCCAACCGGCGATGCTGACTTTTGGATGTGGCCATTCAATCTCCTCCTGTTAGAGAGAAAGGATGTCTTGAACGAACTCTGCAGATACAGGTTTTGTGATCCCCACCGCAAACACTGGAACTACACATCCCAGAGTCACCAAAAGGAGGATTGCTGTGACCTGACGGTGGCATTAATCAGCCAGGTTTGGATATAAAACCAGACCTGGGCCTTGGGGTGCTTTGGCCTTGTGGCTCGTAGCTTGTTTCTTGGTTTTTCAGCACACTATTGGGATTCCAGGTCAGCAGAACTGGTAGGATGCATTAACCAATTTTTCTCTCTCTCTTTCCCTGAGTTACTCATTTACCTCTTTCATGTAAATAAACCCATTATTATTAGCTTTTTTGTGTGTGCCTGCAGTTGAATCTTATAAGTGCCTTTAAGCACACAGGTGAGGACCCACAGTCAGGCAACACAAGGCAACCAAGTTTGTAACAGGGTGGTCCCCAGGAAAAGGGTGGTCCCAGGTTCCCAGCCCCACCCAGAAGGAAGGTGGAGCTAAACAGAAGAGAAGAATCTGGAGAGGAGACTGAGGAGGAAGGAAGCAGGGTGAAGAGCCAGAAGGAGGCTTGAGGGAGGCACATGGGGGCAGAGAGACGTGAAGAAACTGCACTTGCTTCTTGGTCCTGGACTGGTTAAAACAGACGTGGGTGAGAGACCCGTGGGGAGGTTAACTATGGCAGCATATATA